TTTGGCTTCTTTAATGACTTTTGACAAAATTTTACAGTATATTTTGTAGTGACTTTTTAGTCTTGGATCATTACTGTCCCTACTGGCCAAATATAGTTGTCTTTTGTGTTTACATGAAGTTTTTATTCCAATTGTTATCCAGGTGGATTTGTTTTTATTTTCATTTTTGACTATTTTTAAGGGAAAGCTTGAATAAAAGATCCTCAAGTATGTGTTCAGAAAGCAATTAAATTTAGAATCAATATTATTGCTGTCAAATACATTGTCCCATGATTCATTACTTAATTTTGTGACAAAATCTGCCATCATATGCTTGTTGATTTTCCTTACTGTTTGATATTGTTGATTACTGGGCTGAAGGTCAATATTATTTATTTCTATGAGTTGAGCATCATGATCGGATAAGCCATTTATAAAGGGTCCTACAGTATAGTCTCTTAATTTTGAGTTATCAATGAATATATTATCTATTGCTGAACTAGAATTATTTTGAACTCTTGTCTGAACTGCGTCTTTTAACGAAACAATTAATTGCGAAAGATATCTAGGTGTAGAAGGACGGCACTTTCATCACCTCCTATGATCTGTGAATTGTAGCTACTTCATTCCGAACATTATCGGATGTCTGTCAGGCCGATTCATCGGCAAAATTCGTATGCGCCTCGCGGCGCCCTGGTTGTCACAGCCGCTGAACCGGCCAACAAAGTAAAAATCTTCCCTGTACATAATTATATGTACTGACGTATAAAATTCCTAAATTATATAAACCTCCGAGCATGAAAACCCTCGTAGGTGACAACCTTACTAGTAACCTGACCCCTACTTCCGCTACAGGTCAGAGGTGTTATGAAGGTTAGAATGGACTGTAAATCAATTTTGGCACGACCAAATTATTTAAATAAACACACAAGCAAATATAAGGTCCTATTCACCTCTTATCTGCCGCTCAAGCTGATAACCTTCTTTCCTTATTTTATGTGACCACTCGTTTACCTAGAAAAACCAACACAACCGTATTAGGTTACGCCCACAGATTTATCCCAATACACTTCTGAATTAGACACATAACTTTACCATGTCCTTAGGATTCTTTTCCTGAGTCTTTCCAAACAAACCCATGGCAAATTTATTTCTAGCACTCAACTTCCTTTAAATAAAAAATTAAGTATCTTTCACTGATTGCATTACAGATATCCCCACTACCAACACTTCTCACAAACTAAATCACCGTTACTACGGTTACTACCATATTCCCGATTCGCGATCTACTTGGCCATGACGTACCATGATAGCCAACACATGAAATAAACAGATAACCAGTATCTCAATCTTCAATAATAAATATTGGATTTTCACGTGACTAGAAATGTATCTGATGTGCCTACGTATGCACACTAAGAAAACAAGCGAAGTTGACCGTGTTTAATTCGGCACCACGCAATTAAGACGTATAGGGATGTGGAGCTGTAGCTCCGCCATTTCTCACTTCTGCATTTAGTGGAAGCAGTCAGCCTCACACCCGTGCAAAGGCGCAGTTACCATTGCGAGTGGGACAATTAAATAGGCCGCGCCATAGCTCAAGCGGTTAGTCGCTGGCTTCTCACCGTGGTGCCCCGGGTTCGGTCAAGGGGGATTTGTGGTGGACAAAGTGGCGTAGGGGCAGGTTTTCTCAAAGTACTTCAGTTTCCCCTGCCAATCTTCATTCCACCAATTGCTTCACAATTACCCTAGCTTATCATCTGGGGCTGGTACAATAGACCAGAAGTGGGTGCAGTACGAGGGACTTAGTCCCACCCCACTAGAAATAAAAAAAAAAGAGATAGTTGAATCAATGACAATTGTTGAACACAGAATTTTGGTGGGAAAACATCTACCTGGATTTAGACAGAGACAGGAACATAGCACAAAGATAGACCTTTAAGGAAGATGGAAAGATATTTTTCTCTTTTCCATAGCATCAACATTACTTTCAAGGATTCAGACATGGAACAAGGTATAACATTCACAATAAACATAAGATAAATACAATGCACGATTTTATTCTCATAAATCCTTCACATTATCTGAAGTTTCAGCCGCATGCTGTTATATTCCACCACAAAATGGAAACCATATTCAGAGTCGAAATATTCTGTGAATCACATTAAACAACCATAGAACAATTAATTGCATTGCTCAGTCATAACTCATACTATCCACTGATGCAGCAGTTAGTTTCAAAGATAATACAGTGACAAGGAACTTATGTTACAAACATAAGAGAAATGAACAGATTCCACAAGAGAACAAACATGTTGCAGAATTTGATGGATGATATCAAATATGCGATATTTTACGAGTGCCCTCCTGAACAAGTGCTCATCTTTCTATATTTTATTACTGCTACTACTACTGCTGCTGGCATGTGGTAGCATAGTTGGTTGAGTCACTATGCCACAGGCCGGAAGGTCACGGGTTTGAGTCCACTGAGGTGGATTTTTTTTTAATTCTCCTATTCCTTCCAGCCCCACTATGGCCCTAGGATCGACTCAGCCTCTAACAGAAATGAGTACCGAGAATCTTCCTGGGGGGGAAGGGCAGCTGGTGTGTAAAGCTGACAACCTTACTGCCATCTGTGAGGCAACTGTCTAAAGGAAATGTGGGAGCCTCAATGTCTCACAACCCTATGGGCCTTCATGGCATTACAGGGATAACTTTACCTTCTTTTTTATCTTTACTACTGCAGCTACTACTAATATTAAATCTACATCTACTACTACTGCTATATACTAATATAATTATAGACTCTAGTTTGGTACACTGTTATTCAAGTTACGACTAACATAGTTCCTGAAGCACTTGTGCTTACCAGCTGGCTTACTTCCTAATTAGTATCTGACAAAGTCTCTTGTGCCAACAAATATACAGTTATATATCTAGTCTGACATAAATGTAAGTGACCTGACCACATGAACAGAAGTATTCATATGGTTAAGAGGGAGTAGGAGGAACTGAAATATTCTTGGTGCAAACTGTAACATCTGCACATCAATGTCTAAAACAAGAAAAATTAGCAACTGCAGCACTCTCATAAATCCATAACAATGTGTCCATATTTTCTTGGATAAGTATTCCAAAGTGGTGCAATCCATTTCTCTCTCAATATAATAACTTCTGTACTGAATAGATTAATTCAAAATAAAATACTACACAAATAATATAATTTTCAGTACCATGATACATATTTTTAACTGGCTTCAGTATTTAATTACAGCAAAAACCTGGTTTGAATTTCATCATTCTTACACAATACAGTACCCAACTGCTGTCCATCAATACTAACAGAAAAAGGGACTTTCCCTTTACAGAAGTCATCAAAGCTTTCATATAAGAAAAGTATTTCTTTGCATTAATTGCAACTACCCAAAAGTGGTAAAACTATGGACTTGATACAACCAAACCAAAAACCAGTTCTTCCTCTCTTCATGTGGACAAACACTTTAAATAAGATTCCAAGTGAGGTAGATTTGGATATGGACACAGATATCTCAGTCATGGAAACAAGCTTTAATATTCACATACAACCATAATGAAGTGAGACTAAAAATAAGGGTTGCAAACTGATTCTGCTCTAAAACCAAAATACCATTCAACACAGGCAGAAAAACCATTACATATATGACAAAAAAAGAGAGAGAGAATGTAAAATATATTCTTCATAAAATAATGCACATCAATTTGCAGCCCTCACAAGTATCTTACACATTTTTGCTCCAGCACTTGGAAGCATATAAATATTTACAAGACTCCTACATCTCTCCAGTTATGTACAGACACAAACTGTCTTTCTTCTGTGAACTCAGCCATCATTTGGCACGCACTGGTGCAGAAATATGAAATCTATACAATGTGGTACTCACATATGATATTCAATGTAGAAAGTTCTTTACACAGTCCCTCACATCTGCTAACATTTCATTCTTTCAATACACAGTCCATACTATAATGAAAATGCTTACTACATTTTACAAGGGATATCATGAATCATGGCATTATATCATTAACATCCCTATGTTTTCTCTTATTAACAGTACACTGCCAGGTCTACCTAAGTACATACATAGCAATGCATACTTCAAATAGTCCAGTCTAGTCTGTGGCAATTTTAATACAAATAACTAAAATATATCTGAAAAACTGAAATAGTTACAAAACTTCTATACAACTAATATATAATAATAATAATAATAATAATAATGTATAATAATGACTATCAGACAGACAAAACTAATCTCATTCAATACATTATGAAGACACACTGAAGAGAGCTATAAATAATAGCGGGCCACAGAGCACTGATATATTACAAATCACAATCTGGCCTCTATCTTGATCAGAACACATAGACAAATAGGTTATTTATACTAAAAACATCAGATACAATACTGGGTCAATCTCAACCGAACCACTGGACAATATGTCCACTTACTCATCACTTAACAGATTTATAGCACAGCCAAGATGTCTCAAGTCCATAAAACTGTAATTAGTGCACTGTACACTCAAACACATAGTAGAAATCTGATATACCACAAATTGACCTGAATGAGTGGGGTTTCAGATCAGTGACATGAGGTCACAACATCGGGATTCCCAACACTGTGCTTTACCTTTTATTATCCAAATATATATCCTGGAGTTCCTTCAAATCTGGAAACCATTTAACTGTAACATTCCATGTACAGGAAAAAATTCAGAACACATAACTGAACTATGTTGGAGAAGAATACTCCACCACCACAAAATTACAGATTTTCCTAATGCTCTTTCTGTAAAGTGAACAGGAATGAATTCTGGTAGGGTCCACATATTTTATAAGATGTCTCATGTCTGCAGAGTACTGTATACAGCAGCACAACAAGGACAGCAAACTAAATGAAACAGCACGAACACTGACAAGAGCCCCTGAGCTCTCTACTTCTTCAGGTTACTTAAAGTGCGTTAGCAAAATTCTCACATAAAAATACTAAAAAAAAAAAAAAAAAAAAAAAAAAAAAAAAAAAAAAAAANACTGATGTTACAAAGGGTAGTATTTACTGTATACTCTGTAAAAGCTGAGCTCTAAGAGCTATAATATACAAATCTCCACATGAGGAAAGAAGCCATAATTAAACATTCCAGCCTTCCACACACCTTTCCTAAAAGAAACTGAACAATTCATGTATTTATTGCAGGTCTGTGTTATACAAGTCTGTTTTGCTATTACAATTCCTTGTTTAAGAAGGCTGCTATCTTAGAAAACAATAATCATCTTGGGAAAGACAGGGCACTGTTCCTTGTTACTACCACACAATCATATGAACTAATACAATACAGATGCTGTATAACTGTACATAAGTTAATGCCATCATTAAAATCACACCATTTCAACATTTTATCCAGTGACAGAAGGATGGTTCTATTACTAATTTGTAATTAAAAGAAGACATAATCATGATTAGTAGAGACAGTGTGATAAAAGTCCTTGAAGTAAGAAAGTAACAACACTTTTATCAGGCATGAGTCAGGTAGTAGCATACCTAACAGAGCTTCTCTGTAACTAAATAAGCATTACAGAATGCATAATATTACATTTCAGCATTCTGTTGCAGTCAGGTATATCTTATGGTCTTGTTCTCTGTCCATAAGCCAACAATATTAATTCACTAAATTATTATTAAAATATCTGTACATTTGGTGTTTACACTACATGTTTCAGCTGGACAGTGCCATCTTCAGTCAACACATCTCTTTTAAAGGAGTCTACTGCACTGTGCACTCGATCAAATTGTATTCATTAAGGCATGTCCTTGTTGTTATTATTATTAACTTCTTTGAAATCTGATGTTGGATGATTTTCTTCCTATCTTACATATTGCGGTGGCACACCCAATGGGACATAAAAACAGCCACAATAAATGAAACTGGAAGAAAATCATCTACATCATCATAATTCAAAGAAGTTAATAATATGATGACTTTCCTTAATGAATACTACTAAGTGGACAGTACAGTAGAGTCCTTTAAAAGATGGTGCCTGAACACAGCCCTATGTGGCCTAAACGTGTAGCATAAACACCAAATATACATATTGTGACGTGGGTGGCACAACAGGAAGTAGGGGTCACGTGTGGTCTCGCGAGTGACGTCACATACCCCCACTCCTTCCATCATTACGCAACGCTCAGTAAACACTCCGCCCCTCCCCGCGGTGACGCAACAGCACTTCCCACAGTGATTTAACAGGGGACACCGCGGTTACTACGCAGCAATACTCTCGGCAGCGTTCCCCAGCAACGCCTGTAAGCATGGCGTTTATGCAACAGTGGTAGCTATCATGAAACTGTTTTCTGTGTTGTCAGTATAAAAGCTACATAATGAGTATTCGTCAGAGTAACTAGTCAGTTGCAGTCTAGCATTCGCCGGAGTGAACTGAAGCAAGAGAAGTAATTGTAATCCTGCAGATGGCAGTAGTAGTGAGATTGTGAATTGTGTAAATGTAAGAGCGAGAGCAATAAATTCGCTACATCCAAGACGGCGTGAAGTTATTTGCCGCGTGACCCACCCAACACGTGATAATACATTTCAATAACATTAATGACACTTTAAACATTTTGTGAATTAATGTTGTTAAATTGATATTGTTGCAGGACAGATGGAAAAAAAGATTATAAGTTATTACAAAATGCAAATTTCTTCCAAGTCCCTTTCAATCCTTTTACTGGCAAGACAACACTTTACATTCATTACATCCCCTCTGTAAAATTAACTTTCAACCAAGAAAACATGCATGTGCACTTCAACATCCAGCAAATACTCTGCTTAGATGGACAGTACATTCAATACTGTATACCAAAAGAACTTCAATGCTGACTTCTTTACTTTCTGAGAGAAGTCCAGTAATTCTGTATTGCAGTAGTAATCATATTTTGGTAATTTTAAGTTACAAAGAAAAGTTCCTTCTTTACATGCCAGAAAAGGGAACAGGGGGCATAAAACATAATGAAAAAATATAAAAATGGGAATTTCATTATGTAAACATAAAGCATCTTTTCTTCACCAGAACACATCTTTTTCTCTTTAATAAGTTCCTCTTAAACAGCATGTAGCCAAAGAGAGAACCAGGTATTCTTCATATTAAAAATGCACATATGAACCTTAATCCAGGATACTACAAGCAGTGCCAATGCCAAGTAGAATTTATACAGCATTCTCAACTACATAGACTCATTTAAATTACCTAATAAAAATTAAATAATTCATTCTTTCATATATAAAGGGAAACTGGAGAACAAATTAGAAACCAAAATAAAACATTCTACTCGTTCAGGTAAGGAACTTCCCTACCAGTTGTTACTTTACTGAGCACCATAACATTTCAACATATGTCAAGTTCAAGAATAGTATTATAATTCATTTGCAGTAGCATAAAAAAAAGACATTAGGTGCAATAATGTAAGATGAATAAAGAACAGAATCTAACAGGTCCATCCACGTTCCTGTAAACTACACACAAATTGTGATTTAGTACTAAGGGATCTAGATTAAAAGGCCTGAAGCTAAGACTAGTCAGAATGAATTTTCATTGCACCTCAAAATATCAAATTTACAGAATAATATTTCCCAGTCCATGCATTAGGGCAATAAGGATCATTGGCTCATGACTTACATATTCTTGCTAACATTATGTGGACTACATGTTCTCTGGCGGTGTGTAGCACCAAACATGTGAAAATGGGCGTGTTTCTACAGAAGCATGCAGCCCTTTATGGGTTACAAGACCAGTTATTTCATGATCAGCAGTGACAATTAGCATCTGAAGGATAACTGTGCTCCATGGAGTTAGAGATAAAATACTTGTCAGAACATGCTCTCCTGCAGAATTAAAGATGATTTAGGAAATTCAAGGTAATGGGCAATGTTCCGTTACATAAGGCATGAAAGCACTCAAATAGGGGGCATGAAGTAAAACGCAGAAAAGACATCTTTAAATCACAGTATATGAGGCAACTCTATTATAATAATGTGCCAACAAGATAAATCAACCCTGTTCAAGACCTTCTAAAATCCAGCATACATTTTATATTTATGATATTTTTAAGTTTTCTTTAATAAAATTTCTCTTTAAATATTTTAACGTTATAACACAATAAATACACATACAAGTCTGAGAATGAGAAATAGGGTAGTGGACTTTGAAGTTTTCGAACTTAAAACTTGAGTCAGTAGTGTCACAGAAGTACCATTCCAAACCAGAACACAACTAATTTTATCCACACTGGACCACATTTAATGTTCTTCAAGTTAAGATTTTCCCTCGTTTAACATTCGATTTCAACAAATCGAAACCATTATTTGCGGTGCTAACATTTCCTCAATTTCAATTATTTTATTTATTTTTCTTTTTCAGATTGACAGAAGATTACAAGTCATAAGCAGCAAATCATTCAATGCAGAAATGTAAATATTTCAAATTTGGATGTTACTAAGATCATTTTTCTAACTGAACCTGTAAATCACACAATATTACACTAATCATTACAAACAACTAGTAATAGAGCACAGCCTTATATTTCTCCTTTTTAGGTATTATATTCATGCATAGAACCATATGTTGGAACAAATAAAGAATATACTACAGATATATCAACAAACAATATTTATCAGCATCATAAGACATGTCATAATGTTTTAGCTGTGTTGTGAATTGTAAAATAAATAATATACCATAACTTATTTTGGTACGTATCAAAATCAAAATGCCCCGGACTACAGTGTCAGTAAATACGTAACTTGACACAGCATGACAAAAATTTCTTAAGTAAAGATACAAAGAATATCAGAACGGACCAACTACTTGGCCACACAGGAGTCAGGAAATGGGTGGAAGACTGTAACATGAGCCACACAACATTGCATGGTTCCAGCATTCTCTTGAAGGTGAGGTCTTCACAGATTTCCATACACCACAAGATCTTATAACCACGGTTCAGTTTCCGTAAAGACCACCATCATTAACACAATTCTATGGCAGTGTAAGGTTATAATTTATTCAATCCGGCCATTCACAAATATCTCTTCATGTTCTAGTCTTGATTTTGCATTAACTGGGCACAAGCAGGGAAGCATATGACAGTAGGAACCGGCGCTGAAAACAACTTGCTACAACAATAAATTACCCGGGATTTCTCCCACCTGCATAATGTAAACAGTAACAGTGATAGCTCCTATACATATGTACCTGTGTCAAGCCTTGCGCTTGCACAACTTGGCTTTTGCTTCACGCAGCAACAAGTCGAAAGAGTTTTCATTGTGAGATCTGTTTCTACTGATGCCTACTGGTCTTCCTTGCATATATCCATTGGGGTTGGAGAGAGGATCATTTTTAGTTGCCATTCCATCTGAAAAAGATGTTTATATTGACCAGGTTACACTACTGTTTCTGAAATTACACCTTCCAGACATTCTGATAAGTGAACAATGACATCTGCTAGTAAAAGGTAAAACTATCCTTGAATCAGGCCATGGAGGCCCATAGGGCTAGGAGACATCGAGGCTCCCACACTTTCTTGACAATCGGCTTACAGATGGTGGTGAGGTTGTCACCCTCATGTGCCAGCTGCCATTTAACACTCAGGATGATCCCAGGTACTCATTTCTGTTAGACACTGGGTTAAATCCAGGGCCACAGTATGGCTGGAAGGATTTGGTCAACTGAAAAATTCAATGACCTCATCTGGAATCGAATCTGCAACCTTCCGGCTAGTATATTAAACACAAGAATAAAATGTATTTCAAAAAGTAACAAACGTATTCTGTGTGCATAGCAAGTGGGAAGGTGGTATTTTCTATGTTATTAAGTGCAAGATTTTAGGTTCCCAAAGTAATGACTGTGGAGATTACTCTCTTCTAGGATGTGACACAATGCAATCCAGCAGCTATTGCTCAACACTTCAGAGGAAACTCCTGCCCCATTTACTGCCTGTCTTTATCTGTTGTCTGTCAGTAGCCATTATTAAATTGTTTCAACACAGTTAAAAAGACAAAAAACATCAACATTTCCCTTTCTTTAGCTCTTTGTTCCCAACTGTAGTGGAACTTCCTTAATGTTAAGATCCTCACTCCTTTAACATTCAGTTTCAATAATTCCAAGTTAACAGCTAATGTTATATTTCCATTATTTAAAATTGTCCTCAGTTTAGTGTTCAAATTCATTACCTGCCAAAGAAACCAGGCAGAACAGAAGAAAATCATGAAAAACCTATGGCAGAATAGCAGACTCCCCAGTCAAGATTCAAAGTGGGCTTCTCCTGAAGAGAAGTGAGCTGTTTCTGATTGAGATCACTTGCCCAGTGAGAGAAAATCCCAATGCATGCTGGTGGAATTTCACTAATACCATATACGACACCACTTACCTAGGTCAGAATATCGAGTCTTACAGAAAGCCCGTCGACCACCAAAGCAAAGATCATAATGTGGCTGATTAGGGTCATCATTTCCATGCTCCACAGCCTCATACGCATCAACTTTATATGCAAAAGTGACAAATCCATAATTGTCACTGCAACAAACATGGTAACAATTCTCTATACTGCAAAGATAATCATCAGCTAACGTATGGAATTTACCTATCACTGATCTAACCAGCCTCGCCAATATCAGGATTAAGGGGAAAGAAAGAAAAGTTGAATTAAAGTAATGACATGAAAAAAATCCACAATTTTAAGCCATTTACATCTGTAAACACTTACATTTGGTGTTGTGAAACTAGCCTGTTTAACCAAGTGTGCATAAATTCACACAGGGTTCATAAATTTGTAACTTTCTTCACTCTGTAACAGTCTTCTACAATACATATGTTATGCTGGTATCTGGTGCAGAAATTTCTAATGAGCATCGATACTTATTGTAGTTAAAAAGAGTTCTGATTCATTTTGTTAAAAAAAAATGTGCTTGTTATTTAACAAACGCCTAGGAAAACGTTTCATGACACAGAAGGACTAAATAAAACAGTATCAAGCCCAAGAATGTACCCATGCTCCCTGAAGTGAACACTGATGTCCACGATGGGGCCAAACATTTCAAACCGCCTCCTCAACTCTGCCTTCGATGTTCCTTCTTCTATCCGACCCACATAGATCACTCGTCTCTCCTCCACCTGTCGCTGCTTTTCCCGTTCATTCAATTGCCAATCCCCACTCATGTTCTTCCAGTTGCAATGCTGAGGAGACCGGGATCTGGGGAGCCAAACCAAGAAAATGCTCATCATGTTACACAACCATGTCCAAGTAAAAATGTATACACAGTATACCCACAGTGGGTTACATGTTACGTACATTCATAAATGAAAATGATTACATCTACAGGATAAAAGTGCATTGTCACACATATGGCGTGATTATAGATGGGGTTTTCAAGTGGTAATCAGATTTACTGAACACTTTAACATGCAACTTATGACTACACTTCACAAATCACTGTCACACAAAGCCTAGTGTCCTCAGTCTGTTACAGTCTCCACTAGCCACTGCCTGGTAGCGGCTTCCAACAGCAGACGTTCCCATTCCTCTGGGTTTCTGAACTATCCCCAGCCTTGGCTACCAGCTTCTCTCAGCAACAGTTCACAACCACTGAACCGCAGCAGTCCTCTTACCAACTCACTCACTCACTCACCAACCAAATCTTCACTGACTCCACTGACCGACTCTGTCCACTAACTCCTCCTGCTTATAACACATCTATACAGACATCAAAGAAAACATCGTGCCTCCGTTGCTATGCTGTGTTTGTATATGTCGGGGTTCCCATGTGATCACTACTATACACTGCCTAGCAACAGCCACTGTTTGCAGAGCCATTACTTAACGGAGGCTGTTGTATAGTCACTTATTTCATGATCAATGCCTCGAAACAGGTCTACATGCCACATTATTTAGGTTCTGATGCCTCTGTTATAAAATCACTAGGGTAAAATAGTTTGAGAATTTAATGGGAATTCTCAACATTTCTTATATAAGCTTCCATTTTACTAACTTCCCCTTGCTTTCTCTCATATTCATTTCCAGTTCTACACATTACTGAACGATGCTGATGTTTACTGCCATCTCCAATGAATAACATGCAGAAATAGTCCGTTGTAAGCCATCTCCTTCATATACAGTTCCTTACTACAGTTCACATATCCACACCTTTCCAAATTAATTCACTATCCATAATCACCCAACCGAGCTACTGAAAGCATCATTAAATACATATAATTTACAATTCTTATGCAGGTTGAAGATATTGCTAGCAAAGATGTATTTTTTTTTATTGCTAGTGGGGTGGGACTGAGTCCCTTGTACTGCAGCCACTTCTGGCTTATTGTACCAGCCCTGGATGATAGGCAAGGGTGATTGTGGAGCAATTGGTGGAATGAAGATCGGCAGGGGAAACCGAAGTACTCGGAGAAAACCTGCCCCAGCACCACTTTGTCCACCACAAATCCCACTTGACCAGACCCGAGATTGAACCCGGACCATGGGAAGCCAGCGACTAACCGCTTCAGCTATGGCAAAGCCCTAGCAAAGATATAAGTACCCCAGAATAACAATATAGAGATAACACACAAAAATATTAAATATTAAAATCTACTGTTTCACCAGGGGTAAAGCGGTTGGGGCATTAAGCCGGCCACTCACCTCCAGCTAGTGCTTAGGTTTACGCCTCCACCCCCATGTATCTTCCTGGTGTGATGCTTAATTAAGCACAGGGTCATTACCTCTCACTTTACTACATACAGAAAAATGAGCTTTGTGTAATTTTTTGACCATGCTACTCCTTCCCCTAATTTCTTTCTAACTATTTCTGTTTGCTTCAAAGAAGCACACGATCTTTTGCACAGATCCTTACTGACTTCTGCAAGAAACTGAAGGAAGAGAAAGACATGTATACCTCCTCCACCCACGAGACCCTGCATAATTTCTATCAGACCTCCTGTGATGTCTTCCATGGTGATCATATTGTGATGAATGGTGCCATTTCCTGTTGGTTCCAGAAGGACTCCTGCGACATGACTTGGCACCAATGCTTCGGGATCTTGACCTGCTATGTGCTGAATTGCTGAAATGCAGTAATTCAGTAAATTTAAAAAACAATGCCATATAATAGAAAATTAACTGCACACTGGATTTATTAAATTTCCCAGCTTATAAGTAATTATTTGTCGAAGAAACAATAAACAAGAATTAAATAAATAAAGAATCCTAGGGTTGCAGGAATACAATCTGATGCAGTGAAATGTCAACAATTTCCTACCCTAACTGGAAACCATTCTTTCTTCAATTACCCCATTTCACACCACTATATACAGGAGTTGTGTGTTCTATCATAAACAACATCCATTCCTCACAATCGCAACAAAACTGCTTCAACAATTCAAACTTAAATCTTAATTTCTGCAGCTGAATCTACTTCTCCTTCCAGTAGAGATCCTAGATCATTCAGTTCTAGTAATATTCATGTTACGCCTTTCACAAACTCCAGTAGTAGTGGGGGGAGTCCAACTGGGTCTACTTGGCATGGCGGACACTGAAACTCCAGGAGTAGTTAATTAGTTATTGGAGAGGGTGGGTTTCCCCATGCACTGAGACCTGTATTGGTCCATTGTGCTTCCCTCTATGATTTCTACTAGTCTCTATATCCTACCTGTACTGGTGCTTACCATCAGTCCCGCCCAGCCAGCGAGACCGGCTCTACTAGCTGAGAGGTATCTATAATGCTTCCCCCATCTACCAGAGGTATTAGAGACTGCTGTTGGGCGGGAAACGTCCGTTAATTTGGTTGTGACCTCCTTTGGAGATATGAGGTTCTTTTACGTGCCGTAAAGCTACGACACAGGACCCACGGCTTAAAAGTCCCTCCCGGAGGACTTGTTCTCTGAATTATTTTTCCGCCCTTAAAAATTTGACGACCTCCGCCGGGTATTTGAACCCACGTACTACGAGTCATGAGGTGGGAACGTTACCTCTAGACTACAGAGGCCACTTAACTCCAGGAGTAACTAAGAGCTCTAATTATTCACAGTGAAATATGAACACAACCAAGTAACTATGGTTACATCATCAGATCAGTCACATTCTTAGTTTCTGTTACGCCACTGAATTACGCATTCTGACCAACTGGTTAGCATGAACAACCACAGAACAAACACACTCAGGTCTGCACAGTTATAGGCTGCCTCACAAATACTGATGAACAGGAACAATGGGTGGGATAACATCACCAGTATGGCATATTTAAATTAGCCCGATAGCGCTCCTCACAATCATGGTTTGCGATTTCTTTATGATTTAGTTACATTACAACCAGTTCTGGGAGATACAAATAAAATGAAAACTGATTAAGCTGATTACCTGTAGGCAGACAATTTTTATATTACAGAATTTAGTCCAGGCTGTTACTTCAGTCACAAACCTACTTCAGGCCACGCCATAGCTCAAGCGGTCAGTCTCTGGCTTCCCACCGTGGTGGCCCAGGTTCGATCCCGGGTCTCATCAAGTGGGATTTGTGGTGGACAAGGCAGCGCTGGGGCAGGTTTTTCCCGAGTACTTCGGTTTCCCCTGCCAATCTTCATTCCACCAATTACTCCACAATCAGATCATCTGGGGCTGGTACAATTGGCGAGAAGTGGCCGCAGTACAAGGGACTTAGTCCCACCCAACTAGCAATAAAAAATAAACCTACTTCAAGAAAGTGTACATAAAAAATGCCTTTGACTCTGTTCAAAATGTTGCTCTACACTCTAATACATTTCACTACATTACCAAACTCACTGGAACACATGATGGCACATCTGTCTTCCCTTGTCCACAACCACTAGCAAATTATAAGGTAACCTATAACCACATGAACAATGGGGGCATCATAAGTTCACGAAGATGGAGTACAACAAAGAAAGAATGGGGGAAATAAGTACCTGCAGTTATGTCATATCTACAAATGTTATGTTTCTGGACATTATCCATCATCTTCTCTCCATCAAACACTGTCCTGTTTATTTTTCAAAACACAATGATTCGGAGACTGGATTCTGTTCTTTCTGATAAAACCTACTCAGTTGGGCCCAATCAATAGAGCTAGTCCCTATCTCTGAACCTGTCTGTCTTCAGGTAAAACCTATTCAGTTGGGACAAATCGACAGAGCTAGTCCCTACTTCACTGCCTTATGGTTTTGTTCATTTGTTGATTTATCTTTGATTCAGTGTGGGACTGTCCTGAATGTTTTTATTGGAGCAGAAGCTTCCTGCTTGACAGTCAGCCATCATGGTTATTCGTGAAGTTAAATCACAGCAATAAAACAATGGCTTTTAAATAAAAATACCTGATCTGCTCCAAAATAATTCTTTCCAATTCAATTACAAAACAAATTTCTTGAGATGTAACTGTTCTTATGAAATCGAAAATCATACACAGAACAAAATACATCTGTATCAAGACATATCTGTAACATACACACAGCATTATAAAACATGCAAGGAGACAAATTTATAATTTTATAAACTGATAGCAATTCTGACACTTCTGTGTGGAAGTGGAAGTTGAGTTATGAAGTACTGAACTGTTAGTGAAATTCAAGCAATGGAAACAACCTTCAAGTGTCAAGAAATATACCAGATGGCACAAAGTGAATATTTATTCCACAAATAGAAGAATAAACACTTACAGAATACATGGCTACTCAATCTGAACAGAATGAATAATGATGGTCTCTGAAAATCTCCCATTCAGTTCACGTCAAAATGAGAGTCCATTTACAGGACTATTATGTTGTCCAAACCTGCTTCAGACTAATCCAAGAATGGCAGAAAAGGAAGAATATCAAGTTTCTGAAACAGTACATATAAATGAAAACAAAACACTCAACTTGCTTCAAGTTACCTTGAGCAAAAGGATTTGACAGAGCCTGATGATGGAGAGCGAGACCAGACACCACGACTTCGAGAACCACATGAGCCATTGGAATGACCAGCAGAACTGCGACACCAACTGAAATATCATGGGTATCAACTACCAGCAGTGTAAGACAAATTATCAGACTTTAATACAGAAGAGGTTAACAGTCATTAGATAGTCTGATGGTATTTAGATCATTTCATCTTTTGGGGAAAGATACGCTTACGGTATCATTTGAAGTACATTTTAAGTGTGATTCAATTGTATGACAAAATTATCTGTCCAGCAAATTTTTACCACATATAATGAATAAATAATGAATATTTAGACATACATGTTTCAGTCATCAAAGGATCATGTTACAGCATTTTCTCGGTTGTGCGAAACTTTCATAGCTATTAGCAATGAACTGCTCTCTTGTGCTTTGCTATAATCATTTACACACTGCTGATAAATAAGCTACACAAAATTGTGCAAAAGTGAATATGATAATTAATCATAAATCACTTCTCATGATCAAGAAGTCACCAAAAACGACCCTCTGAAGACTGAAACACTTATGCCTAAATATAAATAATCACAATTAATTTCTGTATGTGATAAAAGCTTGTGAAACAAATTATTTTACTGTATTATAGCATCATGTTTGTCAGTCTGCCCCTTCCACAGAAACCACTGAACCAAATGACACACCACAGTATTTTTGCAACACTTTGTGTAAACATTAAGTTACCAGACAGAAGTCACTCATACTTCTGAACTTTCTAATTTCCTCCTCATTATCATTGATCAATCTAGGAGTTGAGCCACTTTTGGACAATTTCAACCTCGTGTGCCATGCAGTGTCTCCAAAGGTCTTCTGCAGTCCTTTAGTCCATGTGACCTGTAATTTTCTAGTAGTTTCAAAAGTCTGTCTCTTTCCATCCTGCTGACATGGTGAATACAACTTCTTTGGTACTTCATCTTCAATATGGGGGTTCTGCTTTTACAAATCTCAATATGTCCTCTACTATCATACCACCGTTAAAAATGTTGGCAAACTTGGAAACTTTGGAGGTGAAATAAACACTAGTACAACTATTAGAAAAGGAAGCTAGACACAGATATGAGGATAAGACTACAATGCATCTTAAGAAATAGAGGGTGAGTGGGCTGAATTCAGCTGGCTCAGGACAGGGTCGGTAGTGAACTTCTGTGAACTTGGTAATAAACTTTCAAGTTTCCTAACAGGCCAGAAATTCTTGTCCAGGTGAGTCAACAAGATCCCTGCACCAGAGTTAGTGAGTTGGTGTAATTTTTTTCCCAGCAAAGAATGTTACATTAAGAAACGCTACCTGCACATAAAATAACTATGGCAAAAGCAGTCAAATTACCTGAGCCGACGCCTGTGCCTGGAGCGTGAACTTTTGTGGCGCCTTCTTGAAGTATGGGAATTGCCAGATGATGATGAACCACTGCTAGATGAGCTGCTTGCACGCCGTGATCTGTAATGGCGCTTCCGCCTATCTCTGGTACAACCATCTCTCCTTTCCTTCTCATCCTCCTGTTGGGTATGCTTCCCTGCACCACCCCCTATACGCACTTCATCGTCAGGTATCGTTTGCACCTCCACATTATGCATTACAGGTCGCAATGTGGTTTCACAAGCAACAGACTCTACACCCTTTGCCACTGATAAACTTTCTTCTGAAGACATGTCTGGCTTGCTAGACACTTCGGATGCAATGCTGGGATTGTCTTTTGAATCTGATTTCACATCCTCCAACATGCTTGTGCCCACACTAATGGAGGTTGAGCATGATGGAGAATGGACTGGGGAACTGGCACAACTGTTTTCCCTACTCCCCCGTATTCGATCCAGTTCTCTGAGGCGGCTACGGTACTCCTCCAGATTCAGTTTCCGTTTCTTTGGTCCTTGCTGTTCTTCCTTGATGGTTGCTGGACTTTCACAGCTCACACTGTTTGAATGAGCCAGAAAACTTTTGCCAGAAGCATTTGGCACACTGCCTATCTGACATTTCTTTAACACTGAAATCATGGGCATTTCTTTACCAGGCTTCATAACTATAGTTTCTGTTGAAAGTTTACTGCTACTAACACTACCTGAAGCTATATGATAAGCCTTCCCATTAACAGAGAGTATATTACTACAGCTTTTTCCACTTGAAGGTACAAGAGAAGTCTTGGGAGGTACACTGTGGAGGGCATTCGGCTGCTTTCCAGTCTGGTCTCTGGGTGAACATTTAGTATCAGAATGCTGAACTGTATCACTAGGTGAGGCTATAACCTCTTCACTAGCATCACTAACCTCCCCTGACTCTAGTCCGCTGTCCTTTTTAGAGTTACTTTCCCCCCAAAATTCATCATCCCTAACAGCTACTTTTCTACCCTTCATATCATTTCTATCTATTCTCTGAGGTGCTAGTACCATATAATATTCTGGCAGACGAGAATACACTTTTTCTTCATCGTGACATTTTCCATTACTTATAGTTTTGTCTTCATCACTACCATGGTGGTTGTTAAGTTTATCTGCAATATATTCAGAAGCATCTGAGTGGTAAAAGGAACGAGGTGGTGGTGCAACCTCCACGTTGTTTGTTGATACGGTACAATAGTCGTGGTCCAATTGAACCGACTCCCCACCTCCGCCACCAGACACCTGGATACAATAAAGGCTATTTCAAAATGGCTGCAAGAAGTTACTACACACATGCACCCCTGTAAGATGGACAAGCAAAGTATGTGAAGACCAACTACCTGAAGTCAATGCAACTTTTGTTAGCAGTCTGTGTTACTTTTCTGGTCACATACAAATATTTTAGAGATAAAGTATATCTTGCCACTGGGCCACAAAATAGCTCAAGCGGTTAGTCGCTGGCTTCCCACTGTGGCGGCCCGGGTTCAATCCCGGGTCTGGTCAAGTGGGATTTATGGCGGACAAAGTGGCGCTGTGGCAGGATTTCTCGGAGTACTTCAGTTTCCCCTGCCAATCTTCATTCCACTAAATTTTTTCATCATCATAATCACCCAGGGTAGGCTACAATAAGCCAATCAGTGGCTGCCGTGCCAAGTGGACCCAGTTGGACTCCACCCCCAAGTAAGTGAATTAATATCTTCCCTGTGCTTAACTAATTAAGCTGTGCCATGAAGGCATATGGGAGAGTGGATCTATGGATCCACATTTTTCTTGACCTCATCACTTATTGGAGGTGAGTGGTCAGTTTCATGACCTGGCCACATTACCACCAGGGAAAGAGCACCCGGTACCCACTGGATAGGAGACTGCGTGGCTCCCAGAGCCAGTCTGGACAACATGGGGAAGAGAAAATTCTTGACCCTACTGGGACTCAAAATTCCCACCCCTCGGTCATCCAGCCCATTGCCAGTCACTATACTGATTATGCCATCCTCACGGCCATATTTACATACAATTATGGCTACAGCAGTGATTATCCACATTCCAGAAACAACAACAATCTTCATGAAGAATGCTGTCTTCTGAGTCATGACACTGTGCAGCCAAAGTACAAGGGTGGTGCCAAGGTGCAAGGGTGGTGTAAAGTTATTTTGGTTCCTACTGACATAGTAAAGCTAAGTAAAGCATAGTAAAGCACATCAATGTGAAGAACTGCATTTTCATTAACTGGCACACCTGGGGAGAGTGTAACATAAATTTATGTACTATTTTTGTGGATAACAGTGTTTCAAAAGTTTGAGAATCCCTGCGCTGTAACTCTGAAGTGCAAAACAGTTCATTTTCTTAAGTAAAATCAAACTACTCTTTCTTAACTTCATACACTGTCATTATAAGAAGCTTCCTGCAAATAAAACAGAGCATTACAACACTCACAATCTTTAAGAGCTTGTTTCTGCTAAGGGCTGCACCAGCATCCTGCATGCGTGTGCCCCCTCTGCCTGGCCGCCTGCTAGGCATGGCTGGAATTACTGGTATCGCTTTCTTTCGGCCAGATGCCTGCAGGATATGCAATACAATGTAGAAAGATACAGCTTCAATCAACATATTACTCAAATACACTATTAACAGTGATACAAAAAGTAGAATACACAAATTTAACTTTTCACAATGGCAAATTACTTCAAGCCAAACAATAATTTAAGTGAACAATACATTAATACCAACGACAATGGTCATGTGATCTCTTAAGACATTTACTATTGCAATGCTTCAAATGTAAGGGATATGGATTTGAATCTCAGATTAGCATTTTTCTGCATTGCGTTGACCTTCACAGGCAGTGGCTCTGCAGCTGGCAAATCTGTCCAAGAAGCCTTACGAGATATGCAGGATTCACTGTTTCAGAATTAATTCTAAATTAGGAGAGAGCAGAATACATGAATGCAAAACTCTTAGCAGTTCAAAGCTGAATTATCACTTTTTTATTTGTTTATTTACTTAACATTTTCAATTTCAAAGAATTCACAGAATTAAATAACTGAATGTGAAAGGAAGTTGCTATTGCCTAACTTAAGGCGCTATTCAGATAGTGACCTGGAGTGACTGTGTGAATCGGGAAGACCACAGGAAAGCCAGTATCTGGGCCAAGATTTCAACCAATGGCCTCCCACACACAAAGCAGGAGTACTGAACACTTGACAATGATGTTCAGACCAAAGCTGGGAGTGTGACAATAAAATAATTTGTATTCCTGAGACAATGCACTGCAATTTGTGAAGGATACAGTAAAATATTCAACATCAATGCTACATAAAAAGCTTGCACTTTCCACCAAAGCTGCCGTAGTTTTTAATTCTACAATGAGGAGGCAGTATTATGCAGTAATCCAAAATACCAATGTCAAAAATGCAATTCTAATCCAATATGCGAAGTATTTTAATGCAATTCTCAAAGTCAAATTAATTTAATTTGCTTTGACACTATATAGGTTGCAAAACAGACTGATCTGAGAACCTTCCGTTGAGAAAGATCAGCAATGGTGTGTGCACAAATAAGACATTGAAAAATAAATCACAAAAGAAGACACAACCTGAATTTTTTAATATTATGGGTGCACTACAACCATTATATGAACATGAGGCATGGGTCAACACAAAGAGAGATATGAGAATATATGCAACAAAAGTGAGATTTCTTAAGAACAGTAAAGAGATGTAATAGTTCAGACAAACTGACATGTGAAGATACTTGAACAGAATTACACATAAAAATTAGTTATATTATTTTCAAATATAAAAAACTGATTATCCCGTATGGATACTGCATAAAAACTGAATACCACATGAAGTGTTACAATATAAAGTGAGAGGGAGGAAAAGTGTTGGCAAACCTGGGCAGAGATGGGCAGGTGAAGTTGGAACAGGCTGTGATCCTTATACACAGATGAGGATGGAGAGTAAATCTCCAAGAAATCATAACTCACCTTTATCCTATCAATGACCTCTCTGGGAAGCGAATCTTTAATACTCTGATGGGAAAGGATGGAGGTATTTCCCTTTGTAGGTGCTGAAGATGGAGTTGCTGCTGTATGTTGGCTTTCTGACATGGATGGTGTTAACTGCTGTGTTGCCAATGCATACAAGTGGTTGTCAAGAACAGAAGGTTTGCTGTTGCTGCTTGTGTTGATCACTTCTGTTGCCTCAAACTGTTCCAGGAGGCTTGCTAAATCTCTAGCTTCAAGAACTGCAAAGCAACCGCACACACTTTACCATTAACCCTCTGCAACCTCCTCTGAAAAACACACTGCAAGATAATCAACCATATTTGGACTAAGATTTTTGAGTCATGGCATCTGTCAATGCACGGGAGCAGAAGGTGATGCGGAGCTATAGTGTTGTGGAGGTAATTCTCAACGTGGAGATGGAATGAGTCCCATGAGTGTCAAATATAACCACTATGAGATAAATTCCCCTATATAAAGCCAAGAAGCCAATTGGCAGCATCGCCCATCTGCATTATCATTTGATCATGCAAACTCATCCACCTACATAATACCACATAAAACAAGAAATGTTGTTTCTGAGTATGTGTCATAGATCTTGGTAGTAGGTTTACATGATATGTCTAATATTATCACAGGAATATGATTTGGAGATGTGGAGTAATCATTTGACCTTTCCCTTTCATATTAAGACAAAATGGATTGAACACTCTTCAGAAAATTCTCTAAATTGAAGATTGAAAAATCAAAGTTTTGAGAGTAAAAATTATTTCTCAATTCCATCTTGAAAATTCAAGATTCACACATACCTAGTTTAGGATGCACTTCTTCTTGCCTCCATCCAAGCTACATGTCTGGCCAATCATTACCTTGCTTTCACTGCTTTAATACACACTGACCCACACACATTACATAGTATATAGGAGGAGACATGACAAATCCCCAGGTATGCCAGCTAATTATTTGGCTTACCCCTCATCTTTCCCACTAGCTCTAGTCAGTTCCAGAAGAGTTAAGGTGAAGGTGCACTTGTGTGCTGAGTTCAAGAGCTTATCTTTTTCTCTATAACCAATGATGTATATACTATGGATCAGACAATATTTATTGTTGAAACATGTACATGAAAGAGAGCTTACACAAAGTGCAGGAAAAGTTCCATCTGCAAATACTGATTCACCTGTGCCTACAAAATCTTGTGTGTCCAAAATTATTACGAAGAGGCAGACCACAAGCTCAGGATTTGATAAAACACAACATCTCGAGAAAACGGTGCCCACAGATGGGAAGCTTGAAGACATTTGGAGACAGCTACAGATAAGCCCTTGGAAATCTCTTAACATGATTATCACAGGAGACAGTTGTGTCTGTAAGCTCAGTTTCTAAGGCAACTAAATTAATAAAGTTTCATCGATAAACAGTTACAACTGTACATGAGCTTAAACCTACTGATGCTCCACAAAGGATTTGGAAGTCAAGAAATCTGCATGATGGACTCACAGATCTTCAGCTGCTCTTCGTAACTGATGCACACTTTCAATTAAGTGGTTACGTAAACTCTCAGAATACACAAATCTGCAGTGATAAAAATGCTTTAACTTCAGTGTTCTGCAGGGATTCCTTCACAGGTGCAAGGCGCGTTTTCGGGCATTGATAAACATTCTTGTAACATCTGGTGAGTTTCCTTCTCATTTATCTTTTGGTTTCTTGCGCTACTTGTACAGATGGTTTGAAGCCACAAAACAGGGGCAGGCAATGTACTAGCAGTTCTTAACATAACGTAACTTCACGCTTACTTCTTCCAGAAGTAACTGACCAGAGCTCGCAGATGCTACAAGTAGCCAGCCTCTGTGGCACTTACGTCATCCCCTTACGCCAACATACATGTCCATTAAAAATCACCATTTATTTAAATACCTATTTATACTATACAAGATGTCACAGAGTGATAAACATGCACCGGCATCTAATTCTGGTATACAATCTTCTCTTCTAAGCTACAGAAACACAGGACCACAACATTTCCAAATAAACCAGACACAATGGTAACCTGTTGCTCAGAGTTCCTCCAACAAATTCTCGAAATCTGTACCATTTTAATATATGACTAAAGCTGCCCTTGTACTTAAATTAAGCACCGTGACATGAAGACATATTGGGGAGTGAAGGTACAGCTCCATGATGCCACATGGCAACAGATGGTGAGTCGACAGCTTTGTGCTCCTGGGAAAAGAACTACAGTATTCATTGGATAGGTTGGTTGGGCCCCAGAGCTGGTCCACAGGCTGTGGGGTGAAAACTTGCCTCTGCCAGAAATTGAACACAAATTCCTTCGATGTCCAGCCAACAGCCTAATCATTATACTGACTTGGCTACCCCAGCTCCAAAATTATTTAGGCATGGGGGGAATGCAAATAATGATATAATTACACAAGTTTTCCCACAATTTATCAGCAATATTAAATACATATTGATATTTCTTTAGGTTCTATATAACCATCAACAACAGTGGGAAGATCTGTTCTCTTTCTACAGTTGTCATCCTAGAAAGAGAGACAGCAGGAAACTGATTTCTGAGCTGGGCCAGATTGCAAACACCATTGTTCATACTCTGAAACTAACCTTTGCCAGTCACGGTAGCCGAGCGGTCTAAGGCATGCACTGTCTTTGCTCACTCGGAAGCCGAGATCGTGGGTTCGAATCCCACTCAGGGCATGGATGTTTGTGTGTGTTTTACTGTGTTCGTCTACAGGTAGAGGCCTTGCGACGAGCTGATTACTCGCCCAAGGAGTCCTACCGGATGTGTAAGATCTAGTAAACCGAAGTGAAACGCAGAGTTTCAGGGAGGTAGGCCTAGGCCCAAACTGGGGCTGTAGCGCCACAGAAAAAAAGAAACTAACCTTTACGCATAGTGGAAATGTTAATGGAATGTAAAGCATAGGCTGTGTGTTATGTTAACATATCTGGTATAATGAATATGCACTGCAGTTTAAATAACTGCAAAGTAGAAGCCAGGCACCTAGATGACCAAATGTGACTATGTATATATTTTTATGGATAATAAATTAGAGCTTATGCAAGAAGGGCTGGTGTAATCATGTTAGAGGGATTACGAGTTAAGCAAGTGTACTCACCAGGGATCTGCTCTGAAACTGTTTCCACATCAACACAGTCGTCATCTAAGTCCACTTTCGTATCAATTATCACACCCTCTGTAGCAGAATCCAACATGTCAATGGCTTCATCCTTAATCACAGCAAAGCCCAAATCAATATCTTCCTCACATTTCATGAAATTGTCCAAACTGAGCTTGTTAAAGTCATCCTTCATTGTGATACTTAATGGTGATGATTTCTGTTCCAACTTCAACAGGGGGATCTGCTTCCCTGTTGAAACCGAGGGTTTTGTGTCATCCTCAAAAATGTCGTCAGGCAGATGCTCAGAAACATGGTTGGGCAGCACCATGTCAATCTCCGCAATATCCTTCACATCCATATCATCAGCATCTGACGACTGAAAAAAGTTTAAAAACTGGTGCTAAGACACTGCACATACTTTCTCGTACAGAGGGTATACCATTATTTTCTTGAAGATACTGCCTGTACAGTTTTATTTAAGGGAAATGGTCTCCATAAAGTGACTGAAATTTAATCAGAATCGTTACGGCTGTTTCCCCCCCCCCAAAAAAGCATGGGGGGAACTATCTGAAATACCCTTATTTTTTAAACTAATTAATTAAGCACTATATCATGAAGACATATGAAGGAGTAGAGGCATAGCTCCACCAATCTTAACCTTGGCACTACATGGAGGTCAGTGGTCAGTTTCATGCCCCAAACCACTTCACCCCAGCTGAAAGAGTCCTCAGTACCCAATGGACAGTAGGCTGGATGGGCCTCAGAGCCGATGTGGAGGTTGTAGAGGAGAGAAAATTTCTTACCTCTGCCAGTGATGAAACAGATTCCCCTGTCATCTAGCCTGTATACCCGATGAACTATTCTGGCTATTTCTGAAGCTAGAATGTTTATTTCAAAAGGCTTGTGCATGTTTCTGAAAGAGAAACCTTCCCCATGAAGCGAGTGGGTGGGTGGGTGGGTGGGTTGGCTGGTTGGTTACTTAGTTAACTAGTCAGTCATTCAGTTAGTTAGCAGGTACAGCACCTCAATTCATGCTTTAGGATTAAATGCCTTCATGTCTTTAGAAAACCTGTCAATGAAGATAACATTATAGCTTCCCAGATACCAGCATCCAAGCAACAAAAATCTGAATGTACATTTATCATTTTCATAAAAATATTCAAAACCAAACTGCACGTGTGTTCACCCTCAATGTGGCATTCTACCAACTGCCACTAGCAGTGCTGCCCCATCACCCTTTCTCACACATGCCGTTACTTACCAATCCCTGGCCATAACAACACAGGCTATTTGAATTTGTGATGACATTACAGTATATACATCAGAAATCTTCCACTCAACAATTTCCTGTGTTACCTAGAAAGACCCCCATACAAGAATTAGAGTGAGAATGTTGTTCTGATGTTGTGCTGTGTTTCTGCTAGCGTTTACTTCACACAACAGGCAGCTTAATATAACCAGCAAATCCCACTCCCCGTAACTGATGGACAACGGAGAATTTACTGAACTTACTGACATGCCTCTGTCCAGAATTACCTAACATGAAGGTGGCAAATATAATTACTAAATTCTGCATCCTCAGGCTGTTTATAATTTCAAGGGATAGGTCCCCGGATGGTTGAGTGCAATCCAGCAACTGGTTCAAAAGTCATTAGGCACATAGATGTAACACCATAAACCTCACGTTTCTTATAAAAGAAGGAAGTAGGCTCGAAATGTGTCTCACCTTGATGTTGTCCCTCTCCATCATTAAAAGACCATACAGCTCTATCACTTACCTGTAACGAACCAAGGTGCTCCTGCCATTCAGTCAGCATTTTCTGGAAGTCCTCCTTGGCGTGGGGCTCCAGACTGGTGAAACTCCCATCCAAGGGCACAGCAAGTGGCAGCACAGCCAAATCACCATTCAACCTGACACAATGCATTACACAAATAATTCTTTCGCATTACACAGTTGTCTATTACAGAACTGAGTTATTCACTGAGGCCAGCCTGCCCCACAACTTCATGCAGATGCCTAAAATGTGTATTGATTACACATAACTATACTGAACAGTACCAGCCTTCAAATTCGTTTTCAAAGACATGGAAGATATGCTGGAAAAACAATGTATGAGGGATGTTAAAATGAAACCCGAAGGAGAACTGTTTTAGACGAAGGAACAAAGGACATCAAAAATAGCCTCCAGGGTTGCTGAGGCAGTCATCCCATTGATGCACGAGCAGTAGAAACAGTTTGCATTATAGAATTTCAAGAACATGATTCTTCCATAATGTGGGGACAAGCAGCATTTATGAGTATGTGCCACTTTGGTGGCCTTTAGGAAAGCTTCAGTTTTTACAAAATGCAGGATATCCATAGCACTTTATTTGCTCGCATCCTAAGTCTGGCAAGTACGGTGGGTGGGGAACAACTGCCGTTTTGTTTTTAGCCAAAAATTCCTGCACAATGTAAGCCGTATGCGGTCGTGCGTTGTCATGGTGGAGTACCCAGTCGTTCATGCGCCACTTCTCTGGACGTCTTTTCCTCATGTCCTCCCTCAAATGCCTTAGAACATCACGACAGAACTCTTTATTGACTGTCTGACCAGGAGGGACGAACTCCTTAATAACAATCCCGTCAATATCAAAAAAACAGATCAACATGGACTTAATGTTGCTCTTGACTTGTCGAGCTCTTTTTGGCCGAGGTGAAGAAGGGCTCTTCCATTGCGACGATTGCTGCTTGCTTTCAGGGTCGTAGCCATAAACCCAACTTTCGTCACCAGTGACAACCTTCGAAAGAAAGTTTGAATCCTCTTGAAGCTTTTGCTGAAGTTCCCTGCAGACTTCCAAGCAATGCTGCTTCTGTTCATTTTGCAGCAGTCGTGGCACAAACTTCACCGCAATCCTCCTCATGTTCAGTTCCTCTGACAAAATTCGTTGACATGTACCATAACTTAGTCCCAAGGTGTTACAGAGGTCTTGGATGGTCAGTCTACGATCTTGCAGGATCAGATCCCTAACTTTCGCGATATTTTCTGGCGTTTTGCCTGTTGACGTCCATCCCGAATGATCGTCATCATCAGTCAATGTTCAGCCATTTTTAAAATGCTTATACCAATTGTAAGTTTGTGTCTGGCCTAAACTGTTTTCACAAAAAGCTTGCTTCAACATTTGGTGCATTTCTGCAGCGGATTTCCCAAGTTTGAAAGAAAACTTTATACAGACACGCTGCTCTCTCAGGTCAGACATCACAAAACTGCAAACTCACGGAAACACAACAATGGAAATACGTTCACCAACAATAAATCCAACCACTCAACTCGACACCGCTTGCCACACTGATTCAAGAAGGATGTGTGAGGAGACATCTAGCGGTATTTCGATGTATTCATAACCATTCGCACACAGAATTCAAATTTTGGTAACTTTTGGATTGCCCCACGTATATTTCAACTGACCTACTTGGCTGCAGGAAATACAATGTTACTAATACATGAGCGTTCCACAACAGGTGCGTGCAAACCTCATCAAATTTGAGTCATTCCTTCACTTCTTTACTGACCAGATAAATTAAACTTTCTGCTGCTTGTACAGTTTATGTTAAGCTGCTGCAGGCAAAGCATATTTATGCCCAACATTAAAACCTACATCAAACCATACTGCTGGGTTAGATACATATTTCAGAATAGTAACAAGTTGTGATTTCTCAAGCATTTGTGAAATAATTAAGCAAGCGTTACTCAATGCACACATAGCCTAGCTTGGGTATTTAGTAACTAACAATGGTCTACCAAACGGCGATCAACTTTTTTTTGCAAGATAAGGTAATCAACATGAACTGTGTATGATAAAACTCCTTGCAATTTCTTCACACCACCTTTTGTTGACTGTACTTACTCCTGTTCTGTGCCCCAGAGGTCAGGAGCATCAAAGTTTCTGCTAACAGCAATCTCGTATGATGGAAACTCACTATGTAACATATCCAACAAAAGTCCCTCCGAATCTTCCAGTATGCCCTGCAAATAAAACACCTGAAGATCAGGATATAGATCAGGACTGGTCAACCAGTGATCCTCTGGTCACATGTAGTCCTCTCAATGTGTTCCAATTCGTTGACTGGTAACACAGCTGTGGGTTTACACTGTCTTAAATTACACAGCAAAGTCTGAAATAATAGCTGACATAATACAATTAATATTAACATCTAATCATGTTTCATTCCCAATATAAAAATGTAGTGTCTTTATGTACCACAGAATCTAGAAATAATTTGATCTGTCAGACCCTATCACTATACAACAATAAGAAAAGTAATCACAACAGACTTATACCATAAGACAATGTACAAAATACGCAATAATGTCAAACACAAAATATTCATAAAAAAAAAGATTCAAACAAATTCAAGGTATAGTTACACTAATTTTTTCAGTGATGGTAAAATATTACAGTGGTTATAATTTGGGAACCAGCACAAATAAAACTGCAGACTCACACGAGTCCAAGATATATTATCTGGCAAGCTATCCAAGCCTCACTGGACAGCATGCGTGACCATCAAAATATACACCAGTGGTGGAACAAGAACTCATAAAACTGGAGTAGTCAGGCACTTCCACATTTTAACAAAAATAAGGACAATATTGTCTTGTAGAGACCCACTGCTAGGCAGGGACTGAAAACAAACAAGACAACACTGGCAGTCAGCAGACAGCGCACGAAGGGACAGGCTGAGTGACGAACACGTGGGAACTTCAACAGATACGCACATAACAGTAGAAGAGCTGTGTTTTCTGCAGGTCCACGCCACGGCCTTATAAACGGGACGAAGATTGGAGCTTAGATCAGTTGTGGGATATGTGCCAGGCGGTAAGGACGTGTGCCAGGCGGTAAGGACGTAAGCAGAGGACAGTGTTAAGATCCATTACCAGGAGACAGCTAGTGAAGAAACAGAAGACTTTACATGGGCTGCAGATACTGATCTCTATGAGTGTGTAAACCAGTGAAGTTGTTATAGTAAACTATAATTATGATCTGTAAGTGGTCAATAAATCCAATCCCCAATGCAAACAAAATCTACAGTCACTCAAAAATGTGACAATATATCTGCTGCATTGAGAGATCTACCATCTGAATTACAAGGAACATCGGATCATAGGTCAAACATTTTTGTTCAAAAGCTGTCGACCCTCGCACACATGTAAAACACTGTATGCACAAGAAGTACAAACAACTACCACTCAAAATACACACTGTTTCATGCCTGCATCTTGCCATTTAAAACAGCTCTAGAACCAGATATGAAGAAGCCTCCATTCACAGAGTTTGGTGATTGTCGGGGCAACAATTCCTAATATCTGACTTTCCTTTAAACTATCATTAGACATATATAACACCTCTCAAAGATTTGCTTATTTCTCCCACTTCAGTGAAATGCTTCATTTCTGTAAAAACAAAGAAGTGTACAGAAGACAGAGTGACTGAAAAGAAGGAAATACTTATGTTATTACCTGGCAAGAGCAGATATGTAAAGAGAGTTTACTTCATGTATCATGTAGGTTTTTAACCATGATACCACAGTTGGTATAGCAACTGGCTACAGGTGGACAACCAAGGGGTTGGAGTTTGAGTCTTTGTAGGGTCAAGAATTTTCTCTTCTCCACGTCATCCAGACCGGCTATGGGGCCTACCCAGTCTCCTATCCCATGGGTACTAAGTACTCTTTCCCCGGGGATAAAGCGGCAGGGGACTGAAGCTGACCACTCACCTCCAACTATTGCCAAGTTCAAGAAAATGTAGATCTATACATTCATTCCCCATATGCCTTCCTGGTGTGGTGACTAATTAGTTAAGCACAGGGACAATTTTACCTTTTTTGTGTAGGTTTTAGATGGTTAGTATAATATACACAGCCAGAGGTAGCCTGTCCCTATATTGCAAGCATGCCTTTTAGCCCCACAACATATACCAGCTATTATAAACAATACCTGATCATAAAGTGGTGATGAGATGTTGGAGAAGTGTTCATCATCATGTATGTTGAGGATTCCAGTTTCCATGACAGGATTCTTGTACTGGAGAGGTATTATCCTGAAAAAAATACCACATTTCATAAGAAAACACAATAATCTAACACAGTGCTGTTAGATTTCTTTTTTAAAAGTACACAACATACATTTCTGGGAATGCAGCATAGTATTTTGGGGAAATGGAGCAACATCTTTTAATTACATCAACCCTGCAGCACATATATCATTTATTTCCATATTTATATCTGTATTCTTTATGGGAACACATACATAATGTAAAATACTTTAAATTGACTATTACTGGGCATGTGTTGCACTACTGCAATGGCACATGCTCATAGTAAAGCTGTCTGAATGTCACGTTTTTTTTAATACAAAAAGGCGAAGAGCCTCATGAAAATCCACTGGCTGGTTGGGTTAGAGAAACACAAGCTACTTGTGTTTTCTCGCACTATGTGTATTCAAGCTCGAGTCAACATGACAACAGACCAACAATTAAAAAACAAAACTCACCGAAAGCCATGCAACTGCACCTTTGTAAAATGCTCACATTCGTGTGCTGGAGTTCCCTCTCAAAAGTATAGAAAACATGAAACATAAACTCCATTCTCCTCTGCAAGGTGTCTACAAGATTTCTGAGAATAAGGTACAAGCCTAGCACATATTTCATCCCATTTCACTTCAATGAGCACTCAAGTGTTTTGATTTGCTTCTCTCTGCCCAATAACATCCCCTCATTCATTGAGCTGAGCCCTTCTTGACAGGCAGCAAGTTGTGGAGCTACTCAAGAACTTCCCAACATTATAAGGAACCCGAAGGTTCATTACCATGTTCACAAGAGCCCTCAACTGGACCCTATCCTGAGCCAGATCAATCCAATCCATCTCATCCCTCTAAGATCCATTTTAATAATGTCCACCCACCTACATCTTGGTCTTCCTAGTGGTCACTTTCCTTCTGGTTTCCCACCAGTATCCTACATGCATTCCTCTTCTCCCCATTCATGCTACATGCCCTGTCCATCTCATCCTCCTTGACTTATTCTAATTATACTTGGAGAAGAGCACAAGTCATGAAGCTCCTCGTGCAATATTCTCCAACCTCCTGTCACTTCATCCCTCTTCGGTCCAAATATTCACCTCAACACCCTGTTCTCAAACAGTTCCTCCCTTAATATTACAGACAAGTTTCAAAACCATACAAAACCATAGGCAAATTATACTTTTGTATATTTTATTCTTTATGTTTTTAGACGGCAGATGAGAAGACAAAAGGTTCTGCACTGAATGCTAGCAAGCATTACCCAAAATCAATCTCCCCCTTAATTTCCTCCTGAATCACATTTTGATTTGTTATAGTCGTTCCCAAATATCTGAAGTGTGCCACATTTTCAAAACATCTGTTATCTATCTTTATGTCATGATCTTGCCCTGCACTCTGGTGACTACAGACAGCAAAATATACTTACAGCTGATGTGTCCCGTTTAATTTCAGTCCCACCTGGTTTCCCTGGACCTTCCTAATGGTGTATTCTAAAGCAAAGTTGATAAGGACTGGCGATAAAGCATCTCCTTGTTTTAGACCATTCTGAATATGAAAATTATCAGATAAATGTTTACCTACACGGACTTTACTATACATTTTGTTTAAACACATTTTAATCAGCCTAACTAGTTTCATGGGTACCCCAAAGTCTATCTGAATACTGTATAATACTTCCCTCCTAACGTTATGGGAATCTGCAACCAGATCACCATTCTCATACTTCACTAAGTTGCTTCTAGGTTGGTGAACTCTCTTAAAGTCATGTATTCCTCTCTATACGTCTCTAATGTTCTTGTTCTTACGGTTCATTACAAGCTCAGTTTTGTTTTTCATCTTATTCCTGATATGCTTGTGGTTTCACATCTCACATTATTCAGATTATCGCCATTTATTTTGCTTGGATCCAATAAGAACCCCATCTCTCAAAATTTATGATTGAATAGTTTTTACTTGCATCTGTAACATCATGAAATTTACGCCTGAATCATTTCCTTATTCTTCATTCAGGTATGACACATAAACTGTTTCTACGCGTAAGTGTCCTGTTGCATTCGGACACAAATAGTAAAGCAGGTGTCACATAACTTCAAACAAGGCCAAGAGTAACCTGGAATGCGCAGAAGAAAAATTTCAGACAATGGGGTGGGTTCGAGGGTGTGAGAAGTGACAGGCAGCCAGTTGTATTTCTTCTGCGCATTCAAGGTTACTCTTGGCCTTGTTCGAAGTTACGTGACACTTGCTTTAACACAGCTGAATGAATACTGAATACAGCAGATGAGGCTCTGGATTATAATCACAAGGCAAATAACATATAATCTCACTTTGCAGGAACTGCTCAAAGACTTACTGGGGTGACTGGAAAATTATAATGTGTAAAGGCTGTTGTCCTGCTGTCTGCACTGCTAGGACAGTACATGCCATGCTAGAAGATGCAAGTAGCTGTGTCCCTCTCATCTCTGTGGTGTGAGGAATTCTCAGATGAACCTCAATCAGCATCTCTAAACTAATATCAATGTCTTCAATGGCTGCCAACCCTATAGCACTGAAACATTTAAAATCCCCTATTTCTGGCCAATGACCTGTTACCCTGAGACAAACTCCAGCTTTCAATGCCATTGTACCTGGAAACTTAAAATCCCCCTACCACAGATGATAAACCTGGACCCTTGACTTAAAATATGTCCACCAATACCACATAACAAACATTTAAAGTCTCCTACTTGCAAACAATAAATCATTTCCATGTGTTAAAATCCAGCTACCATTGCCACAGTAGCTGAAAGTGTTAAGTTCCATATTCCTGGTTGGCAGACCGTGTTACCTAACCTAATCTGGCCGCAATGCCACGATAGTAGCATATTCAAAATCCCCTGTTCAAGGACGAGAAACCATTCCCCGCCCCCAAGTTAAAATCAACGTTCTCCATCCAAAGAGACATTTCTAAAATCAGGGTGCAGTTTATAAGCAATTCTTGAAGAGAAAGAAAGTCAATGGATTGCTTACATCCACTAAAGGGACACAGTATGTCTGCACTCATCAGTTCTGGTATTAGCAAAAAACTGAACATGTAGAACTGTTCAGTGGTCATATGACAAAGTGTCCATTGTAGTTCACACCCAATTTCTTACAACGAGATATATGAAAAATAATGCTGAAAAGTAAAAAAAATTAAGTAGGTGCATGAAATATTGTTTTCTGCTTCAAGACAATACAATTCTGGGGATGTGGCTTAGATTTGGTTAACTATGGCAATGAATTCCTAACCTTGACATTTTACAGAGGTGAACAGCGAGCGTCATACCCCAGCGGTTTTCCCACTGAAGGAAGATGTCAATATCCATCAGACAGGAGACTGGGAAGTCTCAATTTGCCTGAATGTGTGGGGAAGAGAAAAACTGCTATCCCTGCTGAGCAACAAACCCTGGGTGTACAACCTATAAAGTCACTTTACTATATTCCTAGAGTAACTGTCCAGTTTATGGGGAGGTCAACTGATGTTTGTGTATGGTTAGGCTTTTGTGAAATTCCTCACTTTCGCCTCACAATTGAAATTTTCCCCCTCAGACAAGCAGCAAGTGGCTTGGGTCAAGCTCGAGGCCAGCTGCCCATCCGTAAATCAGTCAATTTAATGCGTAAAACAAGGCCGAGTCCTTTAGAAATTCTAAACTTGACAGGGGAAGTCATAAATTTAGCAGCGTCGTTTCCTGCTACCCCAAAATCTCAGTTTGACAGCCATGCAGCAGGTGGCAAAGTTCACCCCTAAACTGTACACTAGTGGATATTTGCTTTTCTAACTGGAGGAGAATGATAAGCAACTTCCCAGTCTGCCCGGTCCAGCCAATCATCGTCTGAAGTGGGAGGTCCTTTGCCCGAATTTTGGGTAACGAGGGCAAATATTACCATTCAGAGGGTGCTTGGCAAGGAGGACTCTGAAAGTTACATTCACCGGGGGTACACGTATTCTGATCCCCATAAACACGCCCTGTGGTGACTATTAAGTGTGCATCTCAGAAAACAGTGAGAAGCCTACATCCACTACTCTGTGAAGCGTCACTACAGTGCTGTTTCCGTACAAATAGTGCTGGTTGAATAAAGACTTCAAACAGTTAATTGGTGTTGAGGTGACTTCCCTACGCCTAAAGCCCCACTAATCGCCCAAGACGTGGCCAGTCAACACGCCCTGAGAGGAGTCTAATTGCTCTACCGAGGCTAGCAGAACCGAAGGACGGTTACACACTTCTATATATCAGGGCACACAGTAGTGTAGTAAGGCACTATGCCACAAGCCAGAAGGTCACAGGTTCAAGTCCCGATGACGTCATTGCATTTTTTTCAATTGATCTAATCCTTCCAGCCACACTATGGCCCTGGGGTTCACTCAGCCTCTAACAGAAATGAGTACCAGGAATTAATTAAATAATTTTCCTGGGGAGTAAAGCACGGCTGGCACGTAAGGCTGACAACCTTACCGCCATCTTTGAGCTGATTGTCTAGATAATGTGGGACCCTCAACGTCTCACCAGGCCTTCACGGCCTGGTACAGGGATAGCTTTACTTTACTCCCTTACTTCTATAAATCAGTTCACAGCCCCCCTTTTGGAACTTAAATAAAGCTTGCCCAAGTGTGGCAAGACTCTTTGGTAAACCCTAAACCAGCAGTTGTGATTACTGTGGTAAACACTCACTGTTTACTGAAAAGTATGAAGAAACAGCTGACTTGCAGACGTCTTCCAACATCTGATCCTTAGGTCAGTGACTGAGCAGTCCAATATCAAAACATTGTACAAGCTGCTAGGGTGGGCTATGCCCAAAAGCCTACAACATTAGACGGAGGAAACCACCCCAGAGCCATGGGACACCGCCTGTACTGCTTCATTATCACTGCACTCTTCTGCATCCAAAGTGAATCCATGCCACACTACTTGCAACCAGAGACATGCCTACAAGGATCGGCCTAAGGCTAGATAAATATGGTACTGTGTAAATCAAATCACCCATAAATGTAGGCAATAGTGGACCCCAGTGTTACAAGTTTACTCCCTAGAAATCACAACCTCATAAGAACTAGAAACGCTACCAACTGTAATCTGTGAAGATAAGATTCGACCACCACTTGAACCCACCTCCCTGAAGGACCCTCAGTCCATACCGCCCCTTTATGTTGGTAAAGTTTTCCAGGGTGCTCGTCACAATCTAGGCTATCGCCCCTAGGTGCCCAGCAAGTAACAGCAATGGAGATAGTACTTCACTGCATAATAGTGTACATAAAAAAAATTAAAAAATAGTATCATACCGTATTTTCAATTTGACCGAAACAAAAGTAGTATTATAGCACAGACACTACTCAATTTATGTAACAATTGTGTTCGAAAAAAAAAAAAATTAGATGGTGTTTGTCTGTAAGCGAACTATACCGACCGAGCGATCACTCCTTGTTTGCGAAGTTAGTGCCAACTTTAGTGGATAGAGGGTGTCGCGTGGTCAGCGCAACGAATAACCACGGCAGTTAATTTCAGTTTTCTAGACCGGAGCTGCTATTTCCTTGAAATAGCTCCTCAATTATCCTCATGAGGCTGAGTGGACCCCATTCCATACCCCATAAACGTTCTACATCTGAGGGTCAAACAATCTCTGAAGTACAGCTGAGGGTATACACTAAATACAGAAATAAAGAATTGGATATTTGGTGTTCACCAACATACATCCTCCAATACAGCACCGTGGGTAGCAAATGACAAATTAAAGCAGAAAAGACTATAGTTCTGTCCTGTTTTAAAGCACAACGTTAGAGCTGTTCTGAAAGAAATCACACAATGAAAATAACCGCAGAAGTAGGAATGGTGATGTATTTCGAATAACTATTTTGTAGTGAATTACACATTTCAAAAACCTAGAAACAGATTATGCAACCATATTATAAATGCTGCACTGTAAGCTACTAATTTATTTACTTATCAGTTATTTAATGACAGTGTCTGTAGTTCAGGCTATATGGCATTAAATTGTAAAATGATCAATGAATTTGTAATGGAAGGGGAAAAAAGGAGGCATTCATGGACAAATTGATGTTCTACCTGGAAGGTCTGAGTAAAACCAAGAAAAACTCCATCAGTAACTCAGTTTATAGGACAAAGTATGAACCTGGGTCCTCACAAATACAAAGCAAGAGTGCCACCCACTCGCCTGTGACATGCAGAGCAACTTACTAATAATTAATTGCACATGTAAGCTGTTCTCTTTTGTTTCTAAAGCTTAACATAATTATAAACGATTTAATCAGTTCATGGCATTAATTCTGCAAACCTCAAAAAATAGTTCAACTAACATTTTAATGTCTCATGTAATCATGAACATGCCAATTTACACTCTAAAAACAAAACTGTCATTTGTACAATGTATGATGCTTATAAATGAACTGTTTGGGTCGAGAATGCATTTATACTGCAGGCATCATTAATGTACTACAAAACTGAGGTTATAAAACGTTTTATATGTAATGTTTCTTACATAATATAACGATCTCATTCGAGATTTGTAAATAGTTCAGCGTATAAGTTTCACTAATGTGATAAACAGTACCCACAAAATTTCGACCAGGGATTGGAAAGTGACCTACTACGGTACGAACTTGCCCCGCCACTAACCCCGGTGCTTGCAATAAAAAAAATATATATGTATAAACCAGCCATGAACAGCTGATAACATATTCTTCCCATTTCTCACAAGAAAAAGTTACAAATATCTTGTAAGGGCTGTGTACGCATAGGTAAGTACATTTCTGGGCTTGAACTGCATATACGGTTACAGAGGGTCTTCGACCGGCGCGAAACTTTCCATGCCACAAAGCACGAAAATTCCGCGCTGCTCACTTGCCGGATCACAACGATAGGGCATGGAATATTCTCTTATTAAACACCTACGCCTTCATTCGAAATATATAATTTGTAGTGACATACTTCACTGATACACTTATACGTCCTTTCTCATAATTTATTAATAAAAGGTCGTGTTATTTTTAGGCGAAAGAAAATAGGCAGCACAACAAAAAAACGCGCTCGAGTCCACATATTTCAGAGTTTAACTGACGGTAACAACTTATTAGCAACCAAGGGCTTTATTATATATAGTGAGATCTTCATAAAAAATGAGGATACATCAATAAATACATTATTTAATGTCAACTTACTGTGTAATCCGAAAGTATCAATATTTGTCACATGTGGCTCCGTATTCGCTTGCACGCACACATCAACACACACACCACACAACTACAGCATTTGCACTGATCACGTGGGCAGACTTTCCTACTTTCACATACAGATGGCAGAATTCTCACTTAAAAGTGGTTACCATAGAAACTTCTGACGCCACAACACCGCTTATTTCAAAATTTTAAACAAAAACGAAATTCCGTAATTCATATCATTATGTAATATAGGGTTATCACTAAAACAATGAGTATGTTATTTTTACGATTAAGAACTATGTACTTATCAAAACATTCATAGTATAAAGATCTGATAAGAAGACGTGGAATTACTCTGCCTTGATGTAAACAAATTGCACTTTCCAAGTCATCTCATTTGGATTGCTAGAGGATGTACCGTTATTTTCTTGAAAATATCATCTATACAGTTTTATTTATACAGATAGTCTAGATAAATTCTAAAATTTTTAACAAAATCATTAGAGCCGTTCAAAAAATGCACTTTTATATGCAGAGGCTAGTGTGAAGGGCCCCTATTTTTGAAGTTGGACTATTGAGTAACTAGGCACCTACCTATGATAGATGAACTCTCAAATACCGAATATGGATACAATCCATCACACCATTCAGGCACTAGCGAGGCATATACACATACACACAGCCAGAATTCCATAATCATTTTTTCATACTGAGCTGTGCTCAAAACATGTAAATCTGTTAAAATCATAAGGTAGAATTTGATTTGTTTCATTCTGGTCTGTCACACTAATATTATGAAAAAGTTGAATAGTTCTGTCTGGTGTGACTGGGTAACCAATCACACTGGATTGAACTATTTAACTTTTTCATCATAAGGTAGATATTTCATGATGAAAACCATCTCAGTACTATGCATATGAGAAAGTAAAATGATTTTCTTTTCAGCTTATTAAATTTTACTTAAATTTATAAGCAGAAAAAATGATGAGATACAGATACTAACTGAACTGTAAAAATAAACTGAAGTACTAGGGAAATTCATTTTTACTCCTGGTAATGTATAACTTAATAAAATAAATGAAACATAATCTTACTGTACATTTGTCATTTACCAATTGCACATGCACTTTATGCAATATTCATTCACAACAAAAGTCTCAAAAACACACACAGCTTCACCATGTGTGCCTGTCTGTTCATCTGTCTGTCCACTTATGACTCAGGCAGCAATGAATTGATTTTCATTAAATCTGTGTATCTTGAACATAAAAAAATACATTTGAAAATATCTATAACATTATCAGACATCTCCAATACGATGACAGGTTTTGATTTTGAACTGAGGGTATCAAAGCTGCAATATGGAAATGAATTTCTTACACAAACAGGTCTCAGAAAACATCTGAGTTCCCCACTAGCTGCAATTTTCTTCAACAGCCTTGATGATAAGGTAAAAGAATTAACGAGAATTACCTTCTTTCTGATGAGACCAGAAAATCACCGCTGGGTACTATTAAGTGATCTTGCTGCGAAAGTGCTGTTGACAAAACCCATGACCATAACAGATACATAGAATCTCACACACAAGAGGGCAGAGAAAGACTTTTACGTTAGCCCTATTTGTACAGTAAACAGTACAGAAAAATTATATTGAATGATGTATTGCATACAAATGCACATAATTTCCAAATACATTCTTTATTAGTTCTAAAGCTATCTATGTAACAGGCCATAGAAGAACACAGGGTCATGAGGCGTTGAGAATCCCACATTTTCTAAATAATCGGTTCACAGATGGCAGTGAGGTTATCTGCTTTGTGCACTAGCTGCTCTTTACCCCCAGGAAGATTTCTTGTACTTTGTTACCACATGTCCCCTATCACTGTTGTAACTTTATACGAGACACATTTTGTACATTCACTTACTTTAACTGTTACCTCTTTCATTATTTTACAGATCACTTTCAACTCCTGCTTATAACATATGTCTACTGTAATGCATAATTTTTGCCTCTTTAATGACTCCAGTTTAAACTTGGCAATATGTCCTCTACTGAATTTTCATTGTTTGGTTGTGGCTATTTAGTTACAAAACTCATTCAAGTTTTGAAGATGTTTTCATACATTTACATTCACCACATATGTGGTGATAAGTTAATTGCTTATTTGTTGTGGTGACAAGAGAGGGACGAGACACAAAAGTAGACAATACCGAAAGAAATGAGACTAGAGCATAAATACAGAGAAGCAAACAAGGATCTGCATTTGTACAATTCAACAAGGATTTTTAAATACTTTCCTGCATAAACAAATCAATCTTTAATTACTACAATGGCATACACCTTGTATTGAAGAAAATCAAATGCTTTATACACACACAATAGTTTTTATTAGTCTATTAAAAAATGTGGAGTGCTTTGTACATAAAATGATTCTATTATAATAGGCCACCTTAATCAACTGTAACTGTTTCTGGAACAACCTTTGCAACTTTCCGAGGTTCCTTGACATAGGTTTTTGGGCACTGCATCTCTGTCCAGCTCACAGGAACCATTGCAACACCTGAAACAGGAATGCCACCATATAATCATGCATCTTTTTATATATATATAAGATCTGAAGCAAGGTGAAAGTTTTATAATGGTAAGTATATTTTATTGGAAGGGGGGGGGTGTTCAAAAGGCTTAAAAATAAGATTCTGATCTTTGGGGTTCTGACATCATGTAGTCATGTGGGTAGTTACCAATATTTCAGAGGAACCTGCCACTCCAAATTCAGAATAGAGATGACAGAGCTGCATGCGTGAGCTCTGCCACACTCCTACACGAGTTGCCCAAAATAAGAAAAAAAATGCTTACTTTCAAAATAGCCTTCATACAAAAAAAAAAAAAGCTGCATGGGTATGAAATCGCAATTTTCACTGAAAATACCTGATTCACTGTATGCTATCACAACACCTAACTCGTTCTCTGCTGTTGACAGATGGTATGTATGGACTTCAGTCAATGGAAGCTGAAGAGTATGTTAAGGACTCTGCAATAAACTAAACAAATCATCTTCACAATTAGATAAATAATACCACATCAATAAAATGGCAGTGTTTTATACCATTTCAAAGTGAGTTATGCCATACAGATGTGCTTGATAACAAGAAAAGAAATAAAGAACAGTCACACAATATGGAGACCAAATAACAGAATCAACACACATCCAAATAGCATTTCCCTCATTCTTCAAGTTTTATTCATGCTTAATACCTGGACCAAAGACAATGTGAGGCAAAGACAAGGACCCTGTATTTTTTTAATAAAGCTAAGAATAAATACATGTTCATGTACGTAGACTGGTACAAATATGGTAAAAGCCATCATTTGCTTGGCAATAATCATACAAGTGCACCAGAACTGAAACAGAGAACTGATGCAGCCTTAAAATTTATTTTCAACTGCTACAATTTGTGCCTGTGTGTGCTGTTTCCATTATTCCAATCAGGTGAGATGCAGACAGACATCTGTTATCTTCCGAGTTTTACATGGGTGGCTTCGTTCTCTGTGTGGAAACCCCAAAGATTGAGAGGTCCTAAGCAGTAGTTCATTTAGCATTTATTTAAATCTAGCACTGCTTAGTACAGTGACACCCATATTTAGGGCTTCTATGGAGAACAGCGGTTTTGAAAACTATACAGAAAAATCTTAACTAGAAGTAATTTAACATTATGTTTATTGATACTGGATCACTGAAACTGAACATTAAGTCAGACGAAAACTTTAACCGAGGAACAGTTAAACTGTGTATGCAACACAAACACAAATGTACTCATAATTTAATTAAATTAAATTAAACTAACCTATCCTAATTCCAACAATATCTGAATAGAGTGAAATAATTGGTTTTAATTTTATTAGTACTCTTACGTGTATAAATATCTGTCAATAACTGATATACAAACAAAAACACAAACTCCATGGTTTTAGTCTGCAAGCAAATTATACTGACCGAACAACCGCCATTTGTTGGAGAAGTTAGTGCCAACTTCAGTGGACAGATAGTGCCACATGGTCAGCGTTAACAGATCCCCACAGCTGTTAATCTCAGTTCTCTAGACCAGAGCCACTTTTTTCCTTTAAATAGCTCCTCAATTATCCTCATAATATAAATGATATAACTATATTAAAATATCAGGCAAAGAAAAAAAAAGACTCATAAGTCACCATACTGCAAAAGGTGTACTACAAATAATCCCAGTGTCCATCGCAGCAGGTCAGTATAGTGACTAGGCTACAGATCAGACAATCAAGGGGTCAAGGTCCAAATCTCAATAAGGGCAGAGACTACTTTTCTCTCCTCCACTGTACCCAGCCCACCTCTGGGACCCATGGACACAGAGGGACTGTCAGGCAGGAGTAAAGCTAAATACTCATATCCACATAGTGCTGAGGTTAAGAATGCGTGCAGCTGTACCTCCACTCCCACGTACATTTTCTTGGCATGGTGCTTAATTAAGCAACTTCACCCTTACATTTACATTCATTTTCACTTTATGGATCCAATCATCTCACCGTAGGGCTCGACATAAAACATGTCACATATTACAAATTCATGATGACTACACATCATTCCTTTCAGCTTACCCACAGTAATAATCACAGTCCAGTCTGAAGTCAGGAGCCTTATCAATTTTGCTACACAGTACCATTACCATGTACACAAAAATTAAAATAAACTTACATCAAAAGGTTTCAGGTTCTCATTGTGGTGGCTATGAAGATTATGTTGCTTATAATGGGAAGTCATGTAGCCTAGTAGATATTTACCAACATTTAAAAAGTATGTGCTGTCTCTACATTTGGCACAGAACACTATTCTGTCTTGAAGATTGAGGCAGAATGTCCCTCTGAAATATCAGTAAATCTCTACCATACTACACTGTCATATTCCAGAAGACATTTACCTCCAACAGTAACTAATTTTAAGAAATCTAGTTCAGAGATCTAACAATGAGGTGGGTATTTTACTTATGTGAACAGCAGCTGAAAAGGATACAACTCTGCCTAATATAATATCCCCTGGTCTGAAGCTCTTAATTATTTCCACTTTGTCCTTCTCTGTAGCACAGACATCTTCTTTGCGTACAATTGCTCGGTAAGGCCGTGTCAGAACTGTGTCACCTATACATTTTATGACACACTTGCAGAACTTCTGGGTCACAATAGTCACCTGTCATAAAACAGAATTCATGTACTCCATGCAATTAAAGAACAGGATGAAAACCACCACAGTTAAACACTACATACTTCTATGCAATCATACATCAGAATTTGTTTCAGAGTCCTTTTTAATGACAGAGGATATATCAGTGATTATACAGTGCTAACAACAGCCTGACACTAATGACACCTTCAGTCAGCTGCATTATATCTACATCATCACATCCATTTTAAACGCATCAACTGCCAAGCCCTGCCATATAACTATGCACTACAAACATCAAGGTTGCTTGGGGGTTAATACAGTTGCACAAACACCACCAATATTTCCTCAAATAGCCTACAAAGCCCATAAGTATAGGTTACGTGTAAGTCTATATTTTCCTCTAAACACTGATACACCTCATTCAGTACCATCCAGTGACAGAAATGCTGTATTAGTCAATCTGGAAAAAGAAGATATCTGTGGCTGTGGCGGTTTGAACAAAAGTACCCGGGGTTGATCTAGTCAGTACATGGCAGGCAAAGGATTAATATTATCCTCAAATTTTTCCTAGGTGTCTTCTTGAAGATCACTGACCAAATTTTGTTTGCACATCTCAGTTGCTTCATGCATGCCACATATTCTATCTCAGCCTTCCTTATTCCATAAATTTAAACTGGCAAACTAACTAAAAAAGAAGGCATTCTTAACTAATTTAATGACTTACTCAACTGCTACTATATTATCACAAACTCCCTCTAATACTCATGAATGTCAAGGATGGCTTTGCCCCTTCCTGAATACAGGTGATAAAATGCTGTCTTATGTAGACTAGAAGAATAGGTTTTGTATGCTGGTGCATTACTGTACGTATACCTCTACATTTTACATAGTCATTACTACAAATGATTTAGTAATTTCTGCTCTGTCTTACATTACCTTTGCTGTTACTATATCCCCAGGAGCTGGGATAATGCCCTGTCCCTTACTGCTGTGTACTTCGATAATGGAAGACTACAAGGGAAAAAAAGCTTATAAACATTACGCAAACTTCAAAATGTTAAATCTTATGTATAACAGTAACGATCTCTCTCTCAAACAAAAAACGATACCCTTTCCTCTTTTACAACGTTCACAACGCCCGCAAGAGTCGAATATATGTATCCATTCCTTTCATATGTACCGCAACCTGAGATGTGTTCCTTATCTGCCAGGCATAACCTCTGACCTACAAATTACGAAACATATTTCAGTAATTTTGCTAACAAAATGCGATGCAAAACATCACTATACGACAGGCAATTATACGTAATTCCCTATTTAAACAAAAATAATTCCTTAATGTACCAACTCAGTTCCAAAATACAACATGAAACAAGCCATCAGATAACATAATAAGTTATTACAATAAGTTGAATTAAGTTAAAATGTGTACAATTCATGTATAACCTGGTATGCAGACCAGTTGTGTGTTTTCCATTTTATTTGGTGGGAACTCTAGTGCTCCAAGGACAGCGGCACTCATAACTCATAACCATTAAACTTATTCTTAACGACTAGAAAACAACATGGCGTGGGTGAGCATGTTAAATCATACGTGAACCATGATCTATATTATTCTCTGCCAACTGTTGCCAACATTTTGAACTGAAGTGAAATACACTCTGTGGAACGTTTTAAGATGATACGATATAATTATAGCGAACCGTGAGGAGCACAAGGTGTGTGGGCAGTTATTATATGAGTATTATCGGGGTTTTCAGCGTCTGTAACGTCTGTAATGTGATGAACTAAATATAATTTTTTAGTTTATTTAGATGGGCCGCGGCCTAAAATGTTGCTGCATAAATTGGACAATACCATGTTGCTCACATACCAGCTCAAAAAATAGAAAACCCATACATCTGATACCTAACAGAAAATTGCCACATCAGGAGGGCCGTAGGACATTCTCAACCAAAAAATCTGTCGCTTTAATGCGCTAAACGTCCCAATTGTGTATGAAGTAAACGAACACACCTCCAGCTGCCACTGGGGTTGCAAATGTAGGAAGCTTGCATTTTCCTGCTGCATGGTATATACAAATTTGAAACAGCTGAATATTTTTGCCATTGTATGACTGAAAGATGCAATTCACTGTAGATTACAGAGTGGGCAGTCTGGTCAGAGCCATATTTTTACATTTTTGTTTTAATTTATGTGTGTTTCCTATTTTTTGTTTGTTTGCTACAATTAATACCAAAAACAACACATTCATACTCAGTAAACAGTTATGTATATCAACAGCAGAACTTTTCTCTCACAAAACTTGCACAAGTTTCTACATGACAGTTACACAACAGGTTAGTCAGTGTGGTGAACTAAAACACTCAGCATCATTCAAGCTTTGCTTTTGGTTCTATATGCTTTCTGATATAAATGCTTGTAAAGTCGTATTGTAGAGGCATGAGTGGGAATGAAGGCAATGCAATATGTTTTCAGTGAGGGTACAAGTGCCTGGCATAAATCAACAAAAATAAATAACATTATAAAATGCAATGAAAATATATATTTTAAATTAGTAATATGAATGTTTGAATGACAATCTTAATATTACAATGCATGTCAAGTTAAACTGAAAGCATCCTCACAACCTCACAATTATTGTGCATGGTCTCTTCCTGCACAAAAAATGTCACTTAACATCCACCTCACTTAATTCCCAAGTATAGTGACACAAATTTCATTAATGCATATTCTCAAATTTACATGCTAGTATATCTTGCGGGATATGCATTTTAGCAACTTCGGTTATACACGTATGTGTATATCATTCAAAGCTTCTGTCAGATTTTATTCAGTGACAGTAAATAGCTATCTGAACCACCCCGATACACAGATTATGTATAGGATTTTCAATTGCATTTTTAGTGCACAAAAATGAACTACTTTAAACTGTTGTAATCTATCTCTCCATCAAATTGGACATTTACACAATGTAGTTGCCCATCAAATAGTATCAGATATTAAATAACATACAACGTTGCAACAGGCTTCCGAAAACATCAGTCATTGTGTATGTAATACGTCCGTATAAGCATTACATATATTACAATAACAACTGCCAACTTCCAAATACCATCACATATACAACTTTTAACTATTCATGACTTCTACTTTTATTGTAATTTATAATTTATGTTCATTCATCTAATTTTATGCCATTGTATATACTTGGAAGTTTAGCACTGTGCTAAATGACATGCAATTCAATAACAAAAATTTTAAATGCCTGATGATGGCTGAAGGCAAAAGTATCTCCTAGAGCTACTTACACGTATTATTGATTGTTGTGTTACGATGGTTTTCAATAAGAAATAATACTTTAAACTGGTTCCACATGTATTACAGAATCCTTGAAACTTCAACGAGAGCTTTAGTAGAGCGTAAAACACAGTAATTCATACCCGCAACCATTCTTTCATATTCTCACTGATCAATACCATGATATCCTTCCTTCTTTCTTTATGCAAGAAGCATGATAAAAGTTGTATGCTTTCTATCAAATCAACATCATTATATATAAGCTATTTATCTCTAAAATTCTAAAGATAAATTGAGTTTATGTGACAAAACTACCATGGTTGGGTGACTTATGAAGGGCCTGTTCTGTATTATCATTAGACAAAGGAAAAACTGGCAGAGCAAAATGTAATTTATATTTTAAATCATAAATTAAACACATCCAAACAAATTACGCTTTGAGATAAATTTAAGTACAAAATTATGACTTATTTATACACTCTTAAAATTACACTGATATGTACAATAACTTACATATAAATATATTACAAAGTGAAACTAAACTAAGTTCATGCCTGTATCAGAATACCACTGCCATAAGAATTACATTACATTGCATTGCATTCCATAGATCCAAAGTTAGTCAAAAATGACTGCAGGATGTGGAATATGTCATATAAATACAAAACATGTGTACAGTCCCAATGGAGTTCTCACACAAGAGAAACCAAGAATACACAGTGACTACACACATGGCTACTTAAAGATACACAAGTTATTTTCAAGACAATAGGTATTCATCAACAGAGTAGAATGAATGTGTATTTAAGTATCGGTTCAGTGCTACTCATATTTTGAATCATGCCTTTTCATTCATAAGACCTTTGACATCAGATGGCAGGTTATTAAAATTGTTGATCCCAGCATAATATGCGCTTTTCTGAAAGCATGAGAGGATAGCAATTGGTTTATGAAGACAGTGTTTGTGTCTTGTATCAACACTGTGTACATCCGCATTTGTCTTAAAATGTTCTTCGCGGTAGTGTACATAGTTGAAGCACTATGCTACAAGCCAGAAGGTTACGGGCTCGAGTCCAGATGGGGCGGATTATTTTTTCCAATTTACCTAATCCTTCCAGCCGCACTATGGCCCTGGGTTCAACTTAGCCTCTAACATAAATTAGTACCAGGAATCTTCCTGGGGAGTAAGGGCGGCCAGTCCATAAGGCTGACAACCTCACCACCATCTGTGAGCCAATTGTCTGGACAAAATGTGGCAGCCTCAATGTCTCACAACCCTATGGGCCTTCATAGGGGTAGCTTTATCTTTTACCTTTTATATGCTACCTTATTTCTTTTTAAGCAATACAATTTGATATCCTTGCAATGGTAAATTCTGATTGCTTCTGAGAATCACAGTGTTGAACAGCAACTGCAGGGATGAGTACCCAAACATATCTTGCTCCAATTAAAAATTGTTTCAATTGACATTTGAGTCATTGGCACATTCATTTAAACATATGGATACACAATCATTTTTATGAATCCTATTATGCATACAATATTTATAAATATTGAAAGCAATTGTAACTTGTCATACACATACTTGTATACTGGAAGAAATTATTTATCCACTTTTTATGATATAAATACTGCTTATAAAATATATTATCTACAAAAATCCATTGTTTTCACAAATGTTCATTTACTCTTCTAAATTATGGAATAGCTAACCTCATACAAACACAAAATTATTTCAAAACTGAAATTCACAACAACCTGTCCCTAACAGAACATGCTTCATTAGACACATAGCACAATCATAAAAACAAACTGTTGTACTATAAATGGTGACTAACACCACATAATGTTTCAGCATACACAGTTTAGTCGATTTCCTACACCAAACATTTGATAAAATACTCTACCCAGGAGTGGAACAACATGTGTATACAAACATGAATTTCTCCAGCCACAGTGACAAATTTATTGAAAGATAAAAAATTAGGAAAAACATGAGTGGGTCTCAAATTTAGGTAATGATAATGAAGACAGGCAATATGTGAACTAATATCTTAATATCATATGTGGCCCTGTTCTAAAAATTCACACTGTAAATTACTTGGAAAATTAATGCACCTCATATTTATCTGTATATCAATGAGGTATAACTTACTATTCCACAATGATAATCAGGAACACAATTTCAGGGGGGGGGGGAAACTGACACAATATAAGATATTTGAATTAAATGTCTTTTACTGATAAAGTATTTTGATTCAAAAGTTTGCGACAATGCTACAGTAATATAACTACTGTGTTTCTGGACATTATCCATTGTCCTGTTTTCATTTAAAACATGCAACATCTCAGAGACTGGATGCTGTCTCCGTCTTCTGGTGGAACCCAATTAGTTGGGTCCAACTGATAGAACTAGTCCCTATCTCCAGACACCAGCACCAACACAAGACAGGAAATATAAACCACTACGCAGAATCACAATAATTGTGATCACGTATTACTAACATACATATAAATATTTTTGGTAAATCTTAATTAGTAATGGAATGTGACATCCAATTTTGATTGAAACTACATTATATTGAAAATTTTAATAAAGGCTGATTTCAAGGTGAAAGTTAATATTATATGCATACTAGACATGAGAAAGTTATTGGAAAACATATTTAAGAAGAATAACATTTATAAAATGGCATCCTCCCATAACTCTCTCATGAATCACTAGAAAGACTATTTACAAAATTATTCCACCATACAAGTACACAATATAATTACTTCACAAAGAACAAATTGAAATCTGAGTGTCAAAACATGTAATGAAAGTTTAAGGCATGATAGTATAAGTTCTTAGCCCCAAATCTAAGAGTGTTCTGTAAATAAATGACTTTAACTTTGGCACATACGATGTACTATGTACGTCCAATTGAAAACCTTCCACCCTGAGTTCAGTAAGCTAAAATTCATTGTAGTCCATTCAGAACAGCTGTAACAATCATTCAACTGAATACAGTTCATAACCATCTATACACAACATTCATGAATGTACATTAGCATTCAGCCTGACATATTTTGGTCCTAGGATCATTAGTGATGGCACATATTTCACAATCCTGTAAGCTATACACAGTTCTGATGCTAATTCTATTCTATTGTCAATTGTAAGGAGTGTGAATTAGTGATATCGCTATAGTTACTTGCAGTTACAATCTGCAAATGTTCAATAAATCCAATTATCAATCCAAATGCCATATTTAGTCATTGAATATGTGACAATATTTAAATTTGCTAGTACTGAGCGCTGTGTATAGTGTCTTGGAAAAACAATGATGTCATATGACCACACACACAAGAGTAGGTATGTGACTGGACTTTGCTTGGAAAATCTAAAAATCTCTTCCTCATAGAGACAGCTTGCTAATCACCGGTGACTGAAGAACAAGAGAAAAGGCCACAGGTCAAAATGAGATTCCGAATATTTCTTCCATACTAGTAGTCGGTATAGCGACTGGCTATGGGCTGGATGACCAAGGGGTCAGAGTTTGAGTCCCGGTAGGATCAAGAATTTTCACTTCTCCAATCTTCCAGACCAGCTCTGAGGTTAGCATGAAGCTAACCACTCACCTCCAACCAATGCTGAGGTCAAGAAAATGTGGATCTATACATTCACTTCCCCATACACCTTCATGGCATAGGGCTTAATTAGTTAAGCACAGGGACAACTTTTATTAAAGTGGTAGGCCTTCCCTGACTGAGAATTTCATTATATATCAACTGCAAAGAAAAAGCAGGTGTGTTTAGCAGGTACATGCAAATGACAGATAGGTAAAGGGGTTTTCTTTTGTATAATTTAGTACAAAAAAAATGATAATTTTTTCCTTGTGATGAACATGGAGAGCCTAAATTTTATACAAAACCATAGCATGGAACAGATGGATGGGCTGCAAAGTTACAGAGGGTGGTTAAAAAGAAAAAATAAGTAAATAAAGTTTTGCCCGTAACAGACCATGGATGCCCACTGGGTTGTGAGACATTGAGGCTCCCACAGTTTCTAGGCAATCGGTTCATAGATGATGGTCAGGTTGTCAGCCTTATGTGCCACATGTCCTTTAACCCCAGGAGGATTCCTGGTACTCATTTCTGTTAGAGGCTGAGTCGACCCAGGACCGTAGTGCAGCTGGAAGAATTAGATCAACTGAAAAATCAAATAACCTAATCAGGAATTGAACCTGCTACCTTCCAGCTTGTAGCATAGTGCCTCAACCATGTTACAGCGTACCCCAACAGGGAGTTGGCCATGCGCAAATTAATACAATTCTGTCAGTGCCATACAAAAGCAGCAAATGAAAACCCATTACAAAATTATAGGTGTGGTCAACTTCACGGGTTTCACTGTAAGAGGCAGATTTCATTCATTCTTTTTATATATTAAATGTTCATGCACTTGCACATTCATTTTATGTCACTGCAGGAGACATACAGGAGCTGTATGTCACTGCAGGAGACATACAGGAGCTGTATGTCACTGCAGGAGACATACAGGAGCTGTATGTCACACTTTCAAATTTTGTGTACCCTGACTTTCTCGTGTTGCTGGTTTGTGATTGTACATGAAAATTGAACATATAACAAGAGATGCACCTAACACAAACTGAAGTGTGACATGAAAATCAAACAAATATATAGATGCAACACATGAGATTACAATAGCCAGTGATGTGGCAAAGCCCTTCAGAATATTGTCAGCATACTTCACAACCATTGCAACCACTAGTCCTCCTCCAGCCTGTAAGATGACAAGATACCACACAAAGAAATCATAACCAAAAAAGAATCCATTATTGCGAACAGTAGTTCCATCATACATTAGGCAAGTAAAGAGCCCAAACGGGAGTGACAAGAAACTCAGCTGCACATTCCTCATCCACACTGAAATGTCTGAGCCTTTGAGCAGTTTCTCAAAGTATATCCCAGCAAAACCTGACAGAACACAAGCAGAAAGAGCAGCACCAAATCCTAGCAATCGATTCTGTTCCACACCAGAAGGCAAGTATGGTGTGTCTGTATGGGCTAATTGTACCATCACAACACCTGTCAAAAGAATTGCCAGTGCTCCCCACTGAAGAGGAAAGAGACTCCTGCGTAGAATCAGCACAGTAAACATGGCTGTTGTGAGAATTTTTAACTGATAAGTCACTTGATATGTGGCTGCATCCAAATGAGAAGCTGAGACGTACAACAAGTTATTCTGAACTATATACACAAAAGAGGGAACACAAACTTTCAGTGTGTCCATTGGCTGTTTTATAATGGTGTTATGGAGAGCTGCTAATGCCCTGTCAATAGTACCTTCTTCATGATACACAAACACAAGACAAGTCAGGAGCTTCACTACTTCTGACATCACAACTGCAGTCGAAGAGAGGAACATGTCACCAGACCGCGTACGAGCGTATCTCATACTTAATCCTAATATAGCATTTTGCAGTGTTAATGTTACAAGACTCGTATATTTCATCAGTGTCTTCTTCTTTTCTAAATCCATTGTTCAGAATTTTCTCTCTGCATTCACTGCTAACAATTCTATTTACCCAAAACTTTTAGGATTCTGCATGCACTGTTGCTATCAAAATCAATACCTTTTGCCACATAGATACCGGATATCGTACTTTTACCAAATACAGAATGACATCATCACTACCGAACCACCTGCCACATGTACTTGACGCATAACCTTTACACACAACTACAGCGCACTTGCCGTTATACAGAACCATCAATGAACTTCTGACAGGTCGAATCACAATATCTTTTCATAAATTTGCGTATTCATTCACAATACTATGGCCATATAAATCAAAACAGACGATAAATAGTTAGCTACCTACAGAGCTACAGAGGTTACAGACCCGGTGACATCATTGACACGTACAAACAAATACCGCCATATTCACGGATCATATATCTCTCTTCTACGTGCAACGCAACGACAATACTGCCAACATTTTATTCTAAAATTTGTTTTTACAAAAATTAAAATATTATCATTAACATGTAAATGCAAAGGTCGCGCCACAGCTCAAGCGGTTAGTCGCTGGCTTCCCACCGCGGCGGCCTGGGTTCGATCTCGGGTCTCGTCAAGTGGGATTTCCGGTGGACAAAGTGGCGCTGAGGCGGGTTTTCTGCGAGTACTTCGGTTTCCCCTGCCAATCTTCATTCCACCAAATTCTCCTTCATAATCACCCGGGGCAGGCTACAATAGGCCAATCTGTGGCCGCCGAACCGAGTGGACCCAGTTGGACACCACCACCCACTAAGCGAATTAAAAAAAAATGTGAATGTAGGCCGTGTCGCAGCTCAAGCGGTCAATCGCCGTCTCGCGACCGCGGCGGCCCAGGTTCAAACACGGGTTAAGTAATGTTGGATTGTGTTAACGTGTTACATGCCAATCCGGTCTAGAAAACCGAAATTAACTGCCGTGGGGATTTCCCTTTATTGTATCGTTCGCCTGCGGGCTAAAGCTACGGATTTACATGCCAATTTCACATCCGAAGTCGGGGTAGCGGGTGCGATACGCCTGGTAGTTTCTTTAGTGATCTGCGTGCAAAGTGGTGTCTGTCTCAACTCATCTCGAAAAAAAAAATTAAATTAAAGCTGGTAGTTGTATCAGCATCTGTGGTAATGGCAATATATGTAAGGTGGTAACCAAATACAAAACCATAAACCCTAGAAAAGTATTAATGCCACTACCCTGGACAGCAATTCACAGCTCCCATAGGGGAGCCAACAGACATCTCCCCCCAACCATATAATAATAATAATAATATAGTATATTCACAAAAAAATAATTAATGAAATGCTGCTGAATTATTACTGTTTAATTTATTATTCAAAATACATTCTTATATCAAACAAAATATTTGGTTACATAATTCCATTCAGTAAACACTTGTCAATAAAATCTATACAAAACACAGTATAATGTATATGGACATACAGAGAAAGAGTGTGTGTATCAAACTGAAATCTTTATTCATCTGTGCAGAGGAACCAGATACTACACTGAATCATTATTATACATAATGTTACCATCACTAATGGTAACGTATAGTGTTACTTTGATAAGTGCCACTATTTTTGTTTCCTTCTAGTTTCTGGAACTCAGTTCAATATACGAGAAGTGGTTAATTAATCAGAAACATAAATTGATGAGCAAATAGATATACAACAGCAACACTATCTGAATACGGATAAACACAAAACTAGGATACAGGGTGGATAATTTTCAGTCCAGTGTGACATACAAGTTTACAACACTTCAGTCTTTTTCACCTTACATGTTTTGATTCAAAAGAATCATCCTCAGAGGCGCACCACTACGATCAGGAAACACTGTCACATAAGATGTTTTAACCATATGCACTTAAGCTATGAATAATGCTCGCTATATATATTTGTTGTTATCACGGTTGGTTTTGGTATTTGTCCCAGGCATTCACTATGGCGCTTCTTGAAGAGTAGACTTCTGTATGATGTTTCTTTTAAGCGTATTTGCTGTGTATTCTGACTGGGATTTTCCACTGCATGCGATGTGATAGTCACTATCATATACATTAGCCTCCCAATGTATTTAAAATTGTATTAAAATTTTGAATGTAAAAAATTAGTTATTATGTTAAAATATCGTGAGCCAACATTGGGTCATGTTGTCTTCCTCCTGATGGTGGGAGATGTCATTTATTTCTCTTGATTTTATGTTCTTATTAGTCGTGTAGTTTATGTGCGTGCTGTGTCGTTTGTACTAGGTACTGTGTACTGGTAGTCTTGTTGAAAGTCATACATGTCAGTACATTTCAATATGTTTCAATACCGAGTCTAAAACCAAGCGGTAGAGTACTGGAAAACATGTTTTTTTCTTGGGGGGGGGGGACAACTTATTACAGGAGTATGTAAATAGAATACGACTGATGGATTGCATAAGTTTCAGAAAGAAAGAAAAAAAAAAGACAATTCGACGAATTAAATAATCAAATTATATGTTATTCTTATCCTACAATTACTGCTTCTATGGTATTCACAAAAGAAAGACAATTTTACAATTTCGTGATGGCATTCATGCTTCAAGCTTCTCTTGCAAAGATTACCCAGACACAATATAAAACAATTTAAATATCACAGCAATTTTTTACTGTTTTTTTTTTCATACAAAGTAGTGAGGCTTTTTCACAGTGATTCCATACTCAGCAAGGGCAGGTGTCAGGTCCTCCATGGTGAGGGTGTAACGGCGATCCTTCCCCTTACTTGTCTTGCTTGTCTGTGAAGCTCCCCTTATCTTACAGTGCTGTAAAGCGTCATTAGCAACGTCCGACACAAATTTCTGGGCAGCCAGAGACACTAGACGAATTCTGTACAAACCACAAGAACATGAACTTATACGCATTATTTGCTAAAAGTACATAAAATGATCATACAAGGAGGAATTCAGGGTGTCCTTCCACATATTTCAACACTGAAACTATGTAACAGATTTCAATATTCAGTACTGAGGCTTTAAACTAAAAGCTGTTGACATATACAATCTCTACATGAAGTTAAAATCAAACTTACTTTAATAATTTTCTCGAAAAATGGGTCTTGACAATAAGATATTTGTAAATCACACAAAATACTCATATCACTCAGATGTACATCTTTCACATGACCGAGTGAATATTTAGTAAAATGTACGGAAAAAATGTTCTATTCCCTGTAATGTGAATAGCTTTTGAACAGTTGAATGATGTATGCAACAGGCACCATAGTGGGTAAAATGGTTGGGGTGTGAAGTGACCAGTCACCTCCCTACAGTGATTAGGTTAAGAATCTGTGGAACTACACATCTACTCCTTCGTTTCTCTTCATGGTATGAGGCTTAATTAAGAAGAGGGCAAACTTTACTTATACACAGCAAATTCAGACATAGCACAGTACCTTGAAGATGTGTATGAAAATTTTCAAATACTGGAGATTCTTCACTGCTTTACTACAAATCAGTACATCTTTTTAAATGTCATTCACTGCATAAAAGTATAAAATTACTGTAAAAGAGAAGTATGTTGTTTTGAAATCTGTGCAAATGCAGTGGTTTCTGACTTTCATATAATGGAGGCCCCGAGTTCAGTAAAGGTGTCATCATGTCCCCCCCCCCCAAAAACTTTCTGTGTATAAAGAACATCTTTCCAATTATCTTAATTTCTTTTAAATAAACAGATTTGGGGTTTCTTCTCTTCAAAGCCTCATGGTGCACTTGGCAAAAGATTGTGGTGTACTGGTTGAGTATCACTGCTCTATACAGATGGGAGTGTTTAAAATTTTCCCATGATTTGATATGGTATTTTAAAGATGTTATATTTTAGCGTCCTGTTACACTGATTCATGTCCATGGTTTATGCTGACCATCTTACAGTGTATACACTTTTTCACACATGCAGTAACAGGAGCAAAACACAACACAGAACACGATACACAAATATATGTAGGAAGAATGATCACATAAAAGAGGATTGGCATAATTCGCGTGTTTCAGTGTGACGTAGGAAGAATCCTGAAAAGTTTTATTATTTAGAATTCATCGTCCTATATGACGAATACAGATTTTAGTCATTTTAGAATGAAAACATTTTGGCATACAGTACAATAGTTTAACGTGCATAAAGACACCTTAAGATGGCACATTAGTGCTGAAACATGTAGTGTGGAAGTGAAGAATAAGGTGAAAAAGTGTATTTTAAAGTATAACAACGGAGTTCTAAACAGATATAAAAGTATAAGAATTTCTGAACGAATACATACATGAAGATTACTGTCTTCTGGGATGTTATCCCATTTGGTTTGGTACGTATGTACCAGGAGAAACACATTGCCTCCATCTTCAGGATACAGGATTGAAGACGCAGGCAGCATGTTCCTCTGAAACACTGATACCTATCTACCAAATTACACAATGTCATATCCCAGAAGACAGTATGTTCACTGCTGTGAGAACGTCAAATTTCACATCAAACACTTACATCCTTGGATCTGAAGTTTCAAATCCAGCTGACTGTAGATAAAAGGCAGTGACTGCATCTGGGATCTGGGGACAAAGAGGAAATAAATCCTACACCACAATTCACACACTAATGAATATAAACCTCTTTTACTTGGGGAAACATGGTATCTGGAAATAAATCTCCATCAGATTTTCAATTGAACACATCACAGAACTTTATTCTCATAATTATTAATCACAGCAGTATGAGTTACTAGTCCTATCACCTCTGGTATCAATGTCTTAAAATTCTGGAAACATTTTCATAAAAGAACAAGTTCCTGCTTTTGAACACTGGAAGACAGGTGGTGCTTCTTTTTCACAGGCATGTGCTCCTTCCATCTTCATGTTACATAGGTTAGCAGTTCAATAAACCCACTTGGGGAAGGTGTGGATTGGTGCCCAGTAATAGTCAGTACATCACTCTGATCAAAAATTACCCCCATACTGGCCAGCGAGTGTGCACAAAACATCAATATATATTCCCCCAGTACTTATCATCCAAATACCTATCACACACAATGTTGCTTAACTTCATCTCTCTGGAAGTAGTGGAGGGATCCCTGATGATCAAGGTATTTCTTTTATTGCTAGTGGGGTGGGACTAAGTATCTTGTACTGCAGCCACTTCTGGCCTATTGTACCAGCCCCAGATGGTAGGTGAGGGTGATTGTGGAGCAACTGGTGGAATGAAGATTGGCAGGGGAAACCCAACTACTCGGAGTAAACCTGCCCCAGCATCACTTTGTCCACCACAAATCCCACTTGACCAGACCCGGGATCAAACCCGGGCTGCCGCAATGGGAAGTCCACGACTAACCCCTTGAGCTATGGTGTGGCTATGATCAAAGTAAGTTACAACTGGAATAGGAAAGAAGGAAGGTGCGAAGTAGTGCACAGGTGGAAGATGGGCCTTAAATGAGGGGAACAGGGGCAGACATGAATCCCCTTAGGGAACTGCTACAGCTGTTTCTTGCTCCAGCATGGGTTTTGTGGGATGTTTATCAGTGTAGCATCCTCTCTGCTGCTTAACTGTGTGGACAATCTTCCAGGAAAGGTTTAATTGGTACCCCTTTCTCTAATGGAGCATAGGACAGCAGAGGAAAGGCAACATTGTACATGCTGGGTAAGTGGCTAAATGATCACTAGGAAACCCCATATGTTCACATACTTCTGGTATGTTTGTTGGCCCTTTCTTCAGTCGCCAGTCCAGTTCATCACCTCTGGCATGGACTGGGTACCAGGTATTATATTTTGATGCTAGAAATTTAAATATTCCACAATGAAATTTGTCAAGCTATATCAATAGGCAAATCATGCATTTTCCAGCATGTGTGGTCTAGGAACAAGAAAGTTAGGCTGATCAGTTGAATATGCCAGACAATGTCTGGACAGGCTAAACATATTTTACTGTCTACATTCCTTACAGTGGGGGTGTAGTCCTCCAGCTGTAACAGAAAGTCAGACAAGGGTTGTCCAGCTGTCTTTCCATCTCCTACACCAGTCATTCCTATCTCACTATTGCTTGAAGTAGGAGAAGCATCCAATCCATGGTGATTCCCGTCTCCATTGGTAATGTTTGATGAATTCATTCTCCTATAACCCGTAGGTCAACTGCCACAAAGCTGGGATGTCTGTGAAAAAGGAATAAACAGCTTAAAGTGGTACAGGGCTTTACATTGCTAAATATGATATAAACTTTAGATGCAACATTGGAAACCAGAATAGTCAAACCAGAAGGGATGGCCGTTTCTAGAGAATGGCCAATACATGTGATTCTGCAGCAACAAACGCACACGCAACAGTAGAGGAACTGTGTAAGACTTGAGGCTTTCACGGCGGTGACTATGAAGAAAGCAGTCTTCTGGGATTTGGCACCGTGTATATGTGGTGTTAATCCCACATATACACGGTGCCAAATCCCAGAAGACTGCTTTCTTCAGTAGAGGAACTGTTGGGCCACTGCTAGCAATGTGATATTTTCTATGCGGTCCATGTCAAGGCTATATAAATGGAATCAAAACTGTCCCATGGGGCTTGAAACCAAGAATCGGTGTGCTGTCTAGGGCCAGCAGCAATTTAACAGCCAGCTAGGGAGCGCTGGAACATAAAGGCCGCACACTGAACAGATCGTACATCCCCTTCGTCAATCACGTAAAATATCTAGAGGTAATCTTCAATAAGAGGATTACATTGAGACTGTGCAAAGAAATGACCGAAGCCAAAAGCCTTCAGAACATTCATTAGAATTCACTCCCTATTTAGAAGTGAGTGTTTAAGTGCTAACAATAAATTAACACTCCAAAAAGCACTGATTAGATCAGTAAAGAGTTATGCTTGCCCTGCCTCATATATCTGACACATTTACTTAATAACTGTCTTTGGTTGTCATATTTTCCAAAGCCTTGGAAGAAAGCAAAGGTTATAACGTTATTGAAACCCAGCAAGGATCCCAAATTTTAAGGTCTTTCATTCTGGTCCGTCACACTAACAAATTAACAATCAAATTCCTTCCGTCAAATGTGACACTTTTTTAAGTTTTCCACCTCGTCACCACCTGCCTTACATGTTTCGGCTCACCACGGAGCCATCATCAGAGGCATTTATAGTAGAAAAAGAAATCACCAACACACAAAACTTCACTTTGTC